TCTGTTATTTGCGTTGGGCATTAATGTTGCCTACGTGCTGCGGCTGTCCTATTTGATTTTGATTTGATTTTATTTGACTTGGCTTTGCTTTACTTTACTTTACTTTACTTTGCCTTACTTTCGGTTTTGTTTATGCAAAAATATTTGGCTACTTTAAGCCAGGGCTCTGGCAAAATGTATTTTAAGTGCTCGCACAGAGATTTCTCGCACGCATATGTGCAATTTGCCGAGTTCGGGAGCCCAGAAAATCGTAATAAATATTATAGAGAATTTCCATTTGCTGTTTGGGTAAACAAACTTACGAAATGTTTACTTTATAATCTTTACACACACAAACTTAAAGATAATTAAATGCAGATAAAGTTGCTGTTCAAGCATCCTTCATTATTAATGCACATGAATATATATATATATATATGTATATAGAGATTGTGTCTGCTGTTTAATTGAAAGCCTGTCGGCGATATTGTTGCACACAATTTCATGTTTAATTTCTGTGTAAATTTTCATTAAATCATTTTCACATACTGTATGCACACAAATGAAATTAAAAGCAAGTCCCACAGGCTGCTCAAATTGCCCAGAGCCTATTAAAAAGTCAATCAAAAATATAAACACAAAAGCGTTGGCAAAACAAGAAATGCACCCAACCACAGAATACTCTTTGCTCAGGATTATAGCTCTATTATTCAACAGCACATAGTTTCTTCAAATTTAGCATATTCATTCAAAACTAGTCTTGCTGTTACGATATTTTAGATGGAGAGAGAAATTACTTGTATTTTCCGTCACGTCACAATTTCTGACTTTGAAACTGTCAACAGAAACCATCGCAATATTAAAATTGTTGCCCCTAACTGACTATTCAAAATTCAACCTAAATTGTTATTTGCCTACTTTCATGCGTAAATCGAATGTGGCTGCCCGTAGAAGTGTTTAAATGCATCTCACTAAATTTTTATTAATAATTAATTTAAAAAAACGAGAAAGCGAGGCAACCCGAAAATTTAATACCCTTGTAGACAATTCCCAGTCACAGATATGTGAGAACAGTGCAGCTCGAAAATACTGAGTTTATTTAAAATATCTCTGTAAACAGAATATTTTGCCATATAAAATCCTAATATTCCTTTATTATAGCAGCTATATAATATAGTGCTCCCATGTTGATAAGATTTCGCAAATATGTAGGGAGCATAGGGAAACTTAGAAATGCTGAATTTGGGTAAGATATCTTGATATAAAAATGTTTTTTATACAAGAACCTACTTTTGCACCGATCGCTACTATGACAACTTTTACGCGTTACAAAATTCATGACAAAAAAAAATTATAATACCCTCTACAAGGGTATAACAAGCTCTACTAAAAAGTATGGAACTTGTATACTTTGGGTCGCCAGTTCTTCCAGTCTCTGAGTTCGTACAGAACCCCACATAAACAATTTATATAGTTAGAAAAACATTTTACATTCACAATTGCACATTTTAATGACACCCATTCATTGAATGAGCAGCTACTATATGTATATAGATCCTATACGAATTGGCTTTTACACATGTTTAGATTAAACTATAAGAAGACCTTGAAAATGCATTGAGAACTATTGAAAGTAAGACCGAAACGGCTGCGAGTGGTGTTTGCAAATTTGTGCCTAAATTTAGACTTGGCAATTTGGTAATTTGGCCAAAAGTCGAAATGTTTTGTTCGTCTATTTGGCAAGTGCTCACACGCCTTGAGAAGCTGAACCAGAAACATGTGCTGATGATGAGTTAGGATTTATGTACTACGTACAAATTTATGGCTATGGGACATGAGCAACTGGTTGTGGCAGCTATTTGTGCTATTTTTGCCCACGCTTCAGGCCGTAAACAGAGGCCGTGTGTCCCCCCAGTACATATGTTATATATACAATGCTATTTTAATAATATGACCAAGTTCATTCGCTGCCTAATTGCGCATAAGCCTAACCGAAAAGAGGGGGGCACCAGAAGAACCGGCAAAGAAGAACCGGAGTCAGCTCTTGTGAACGCATTCAGGCGCGCTCAGTGACTAGATAATATGCGTAGTCAACTTGAATCACAAGTACGTAACGTTCTACTCACACAGATGCACACACACACATACACACACACACTCATACACGGAGAGACATTGGCAGGTTTATGTATTGGCAATCGGTAATGCGAAGTATTTTACGGTTTTATGACCAGCCTTAATGACTGCAGCATTTTTGCACAACAAAGCGATTCCGATAGCAGACTGAAGCAGCAATGGCAAGGGCAATAGCTGAGCATAACAGAACAATACACATAGCTTTACTTCTACCGTAAAAGAGGCTATGCCACACCAAAGAGAGTTAAGATATAAGTAAATATTGAATATATTAAACCATGTTAGAAATAACATAAGCTGCTTGGGTTTACATGATATTATTTAACATGCAGCTGTTATGCAGCATTTTAACAGATTGCATATCGCTCTCAAATTGACAGTTAAGCATGCACAAATGTTAATCAGAGTTTTTCCTTTTATTAATCTAATGCTGGGTATGTTTAAGTCGTGCTGCTGTTATTAGTAATTCCTACTTGTTCTATCATGAACATGCTAATTGTTTGCAATTATGCTTTAAGCTGGCTTCACATTACAATACGCCGTAAAGTATTTCATAGATGAGAGAAATCGAAATGGAACAGACCATTAAATAAGCACGTTTCAGGACAGCGCTCGAATGCCATTCAAACTGCAGCCATGTCCAGCTCAAGGACCTGTTGTAGTTGAAGCAAGTTGAAGCAAAAACATGACGAAGGTCACTCAACATGCCGCAAATGTTAAATTGAAGGCCACTAATATATAACAGCTGCCCCAACTATTCTCAATGTAGATTAACATGCTGGTAAATAACATAAAAATGTTAATACCATCTAATTAGTAAAGAAAATAGTTCACTAATGACATATTTAAGCACATAATTATATATTTTTTAAATTTTATAATAACGGGATTGGCCTGTCGCTAGGGAATGCATTTTTATTTTTGCTCGTACATTTTTAATAGCGTTTTTAGCCATTTAAATTTTTCATTTTTTTCTGCTCCGTTTTTTTGTAGTATATTGAATGTTTACTCAACATGTCCACGCGTTTTCAACTTTTACCTTTCGGCTGTTAATATTGAAATTAATTGGTAATAAACGAGCATCGCCTGTTTATAATTCGTCAGGCTGCGTCATGACCTCGCTTTTGTTTATCGCCTCTCTGCCATTGATTCCAACACATGCCATGCAAAAATTAAAATTGAAAATCACCTTTATCTGCCGTTTTTTGCAATCAGATACGAGAATGAAAAATCCAAGCACCTGTGTTATTTTAGCGCCAATATGCGATATGCTTTATGCACACACGACGCATCGAGTATAAGTAAATAAATAAAGTACTACAATAATAAACATTGAATTCTCTGGCCCACAACGAAATGTAATCGGAAAGAAAAAATACTCCCCCAGATCTACGCTAGGTTTACGTTCGAGTCTGTAGAGGCTGTGTTTTTAACATAAACAAACTATTTATGCAATTGATTAACTTAAGTTCTTAATCAATGAACTGTCAAATCTTGTGGGGAAACAATTTAACGTAAACAATTTTGTAAAAAGGAAATAGTATTTTTCACAATGAACTGCAAACTTTAGTTAACATAAGCAGCAACATATACTCATATATGTAATTTAACATATTTCGCTATTTTTGCAATCGCTAGTCACACTGACCAACGGTTAAAAATGCAAATAACATTTTGTAAATACCGATGTTAGGTAACAGAATGCTACTACATTTGTAATTCTATAAGGAGCTAAAAACAAGGCTGACCTGCATTTACTGGCCCTTTATTTAAGAACCATTATTTATAAAATGTTAATTATTTCCTTAAACGATAAGTTAATAAGACCCCAACGTCTTAACCCAGTAATTAAATAACCAGAGTACTTAACAGCAAAGACGTTAACAGTTTCGTTTAACATAACTGCTACTGCTATGAACATATACATAGAAATGTCCTCTAAGCTTAAAGGTATTTATTTTGTGAAACAGTTGCATATTAAATATAACATATTACGCTCTCAACACGTACCCCCATCTGACATTTAAAGGCCCCGAGGCACATTGAAGCTTTATCCGTGTTACACACAATGCGCATAGAATTACAGTAATTCAAGGCAGAGACAAACTAAAATTATTTTATATATACAAACATATGTGTGGACACAAGTGTTTGTGGGTGCATGTGTGTGTGTATTTATATTTGTAGATGTGAAGTGAAGGGTTGTGCGTGGGTGTATGTGTGTGTGTGTGTATTGTGCACTTTTGGCTCGTTGCAACGAGGAATACGGGAAATGCAAAAACAAAGCATTTTCCAAGGCAGACGCACAGCTGTCATTATAAAGTTTTACCGCGTGTGCAAAATAAATATATAAAAAACAATTTAGTTGCTTTAATCGGAAGTATACGACTAGGAGATACCCTGATCCCAGCGTTGAGTAACTTTTACTTACTTTTTGACCAAGCTCTAATAAATTTCGAGTTATGCTTTAAAAACCATTTACCAAACGCGATTTTTATCGATAATATGAAAATGGGAGAAGATATCTAAACAAGGAGATTAGCTTGCACTGCTTATGGTATATGAGAATATACACTTTAAATTTCAAGTCTCTAGCTTTTGGAATTTTTGATGCATGGCTCAGTTCGACTCAGCTCTTTGTCCTGTTCAAAAATATATATACTTGCGTTTTGAAAATGCTTCCTACTACCTGTTAGGGTATAAAAATATGCAAATATATGTAAATATATTTTAATTTAAGGAGAGTGCTGGGTAGTACTTAAGTACAAACAGTTACATACTTTGTGACCCACTAATTTAAGTAAACGCATACAAGCTGTGAGTCTTGAAATCAGTTCAAACTGAATCGAAGTGTATAACTGAATCATCTGAACTTGTATCAAACGTGTCCCGAGCTAAAAGTCAAGCAGCAAAACAAATTCACAGTTGACAAAATTGCAAGTGATGCGTAAATAGACAATTCTTAGGAAGTAGAAAGTATACGACTTCGGAATATATTTACAAATAGATATAGATAGTGTTTATTAGAATATCGCAAAATTATTATGCTCAATCTAAGTCGTACATTAACATCTATCAATCCGTACGAGATGCAGAGCCTAAGTGGCCGGCTCCTGAATCGCCAATGTCTTAATCAGAAAGTCAAGGCTGTTGCTCAACAATTGAAGTGGAACACTCAGCTCCACGATTGCAATGCATTTCGCAACTGTTGGCAATTTTATGCCAATGGCCAGAAGCCCGTTTCATTTTTTGAGCAGCAGCGACGCAAGATGGCAAATCGTGGGTTTGTCGATCGGATCAAGAATCAGAAGGCAGCCAAATTTTTGCAGTTATTTGCAACCGCCGAGTTTAAGGGCCAAGGCAATGTCTATGATCAAATGTACGATGAGTTCGTGAGCTGTTTCAAATGCCCACAGCCAGGCCCGTGCACAACTAAAAAAATTAAACGTCATCTTCCACGTAAAACAGCGAAAGTTGTAACAGCCGCAAGGCCTGCAACGCGAAATGAGGGCAAGAAGTTGAAGCCAATGTTTAAAATAAATCCAGCTCTTTTGCCCCAGCTATCAATGGAAAGTGCATCGGATAAGCGTAGAATTCGCTTTAAAGATGCTAATATTCGTACAAAACCAGGAATAATTTATAAAAGTTGGATTTCAACTGTGGGAACATCTGCTGATACTACATCCAGAGAAGATTCAGTTGAACTGGAAGCAATTGTGATACCGCGCGAGGAGTTACAACAGAATGAAAAGCCCGAGAACTTAAAAACTGATGCAAAACCCAACGAATTACAACAAAGTGTAAAGCCCGAGGACCTAAAAACTAATGTACAACCCAAAGAGTTACAACAAAATGTAAAGGAATTAAAACATAATATACAACCCGAGGAATTACAAAATAATGTTAAACCCAAGCAATTAAAATATAATGCAAAAAGCAAGAAATTTAAACATAATATAAGCCTCGAAGAGAAACTTCCGGAAAACCAAATCCCAGAAATACCAAAGCCAATAGAACCCACAGGAAGCAAGGGAAGGGATATCGCAAGGAAAGAAGTATCAGATACCTCAGAGCAAGCACACCAAAGAACCCAAAAGGAGATCGAATTGGCTGAAATAGCTCTGCTTGAAGAACAAGCAAGGAGACGACAAAGAAGAATAACAAGATCGCATTCAGAGCCCAATTTAAAATCGAAGAGCTTTAAACATCATAAATCCCATGCCCAGAAAAAGAAAACCGCTGTAGGTTACCGAAGAACAGGTACTTCAATTATGTCTGGAAGTGATACTAGTATTCGTAGCACACAAATCAGGCATATGAAGAAATTTCAAAAAGAGGCCAGATTAAAAGGTCTATTCAAATATCGATTGTCCAGTACACCAGTAAGATACAGTTCACATTCGATTGCATCGCGTAAGTCGTATGGAAGAGCCTCAACCATGTCCAGATCCTCAGTCAGGTACAGAGGCTCAGCCATGTCCACATTCTCAGGCGCGCGCAGGACCACATCTCCAGTTATAGATCCCGGCCAAGCACCAACCTCAGCCGCAGTCCCTGCCGCATCCCCTGCCGCAGCCCATGTCCCAAGACCTGCCCCAACCCCGCTGCTGATCCCGCTTCCAATAGTAAATGGGCCAATTAAGAAGAAAACGCAGAGATCTTCTATACCCTTAATAAAGCCAACCATCTACATGACTAAAAAAATCAAAAAAGTTACCGAAACGCCACTCGACACAGCACTGAAAACCAAACCTGCAATTCCACACTTGAAAAAATTTACTTCAGATCCGTTACCGAATGCCGATATGGCTTCCAATAGTTCGATTGATTCACCAACACAACCAGCCGAAACAGATTGGGCTGCTCTGAAGCTGCGTAAACTATCGTCGTTTACTTATGATCCGTCGCACGAAATATTCGAGAACTTCTTACACAAAAATCCACCGATTGACGTTAAACAGCACGTTCATGATTTTATGTCTAAGAATAATATTAACTTTGATATGTTTCAAAAATTTCCCAGAAACTGGCCACTTCCCTTTGAATCGAAACTTGTACGACGCATGCGCAGCGAAAAACGCAAAGGTTTCAGCTTGCCAAAAATATCCAGGAAAATTAAGAAGACCGAAAAAAAAAGACGAAAGAGCGTACCTGAAAAGCCGAAACCGGAACCAGAACTTCTTAAGGTACCCAGCTGTGAGATATGTCGCAACTTCAATCAGACCGAGCCCGATCAACCGTATATGATTGAAATGAAAAAGCGAGAGGCTCGCGAAGAACTCAAGCGATATTATAGACGAAAATTAATGGCACAGTCCTCAAATTCACAAACGGTTCGATGCGCTGCACCCGACAATTTTCATTTTAGTTCCCAGCCCGATCCAAATATAATGGAAATGAAACTGCGAGAACTTCGCGATGAACTCGAGAGCTATAGACTGACATTACCAACAGAATCATTAAATTCACAAACGGCTCGAGACTGTACACCCGAGGAGCCATACGTTCATTTTAGTTCCAGGCCGGAACCAAATATGATTGAAATGAGAAAGCAACAGGTCCGCGACGAACTGAAGACACATTACAGTCGGAGCTTATCGACATCAAGCTCACAAACGGCTAGCGGCAGCAGGCTCAATCAGGCTCAATCGTTGCGACCATCACTGGTTCATTTGAACTGCTATCCAAAGCAGTTCCGAAAACACAAGGAAAAGCAAACAATGCGGCAAAAACTGGTTGTGTGTTACAAGATGCTATGCGATTGTGAAACGCTTTTAGATAATAAGTTAAAGCAGCTTCATGATCACGAGCGTTGTCTTTGAACTCTAATCCGTACTGTGTTTGAACTAGTTCGTTAAGCAGAGCGAACTAGTTTAAGCACAGCACAGATTATTGGCTGAGAAACGCAGTAGTCTTTTTTTTTTATAAATTAATTTTATTTCCAGAAAGAAAAATAAAAATGATTTTTTAAGTATATGTTAAGTTCTGACTTCCTATTGCAGTTGAACTAACCAAAGCGAGGTTAAGTGTAGATTATTTATTTATGCCAATCAAAATGACAGGCATTTGTGAACAACCTATAAATGTAAACACATCTAATTAACTTTTCTTTTTTTTTTTTAATAAAAATAAAATAATAAAAAATTCTTTAGTTTAAATTGCAAGTGCAACAACACCTGATAGATGAACGCATTGCCGAGATCGAATAGTCTGAACGTTGCCGTCGAGAGCGATCGCTTTGGTGCCCAGCCATCGCTGTTGAATCGGGATTGTTTGGTCAAGAAAATCGAGATCTTAGCGCCCCTGATCGAAAAACTACATTGGAACAATAACAATGAAGTATTTTGTGCCTATTGGAGCTACTTGGCCGGCAGCTACAAGAAGCATCAACAGGACATACTCCAACGCATCAAACAGAATGCAGAGTTTTTGAAAAATATTGAAGATAAACGGCCAGAATCCTTTATGAAATTTCTGCTGCCCCGTAAAGGGCGGACTGGCAATAAACTAATTTTAAACGATGTATCCGCTAAAAAAGCTGAAAATATCATCTATGAGGAGTTTATGGAATGCTTTAATCGTAAAGCAACCGTTACCACAGTAAAGCCTCGCAAACGACGATCAGAGTCCTTGTTATTGACTTGGAGACGCGAGAAAGTTGAGGCCATAGATGCGCTCAAAGCAACTAAAAATCCATACGATATCGAGCAAATCCAGCAGAAATTGAAGCGTTTAGAGCAGTTGGAGGAGCGACTGAATCCAACTCAACCCTATCCCGAGAGGCTGTATAGGCAAAAGAAAAAGTACGAGCAGGTGCCACAGATTCCACGCCCAACGAATAACGGAATTGAGTCTTTAAGGCCTCAAAAATCTTCAAATAGCAGATATAAAAGGAAACCTAAAAAATATATAAGAAAGCTCTCTGACGAAGTAGAACAGGGCGAACAAATACAAAAAGATATTGAAGTCTTAAGTAGACGCAAGTCTAAAGATAAATATCGAAGAAAAACACACGAACACGAAATTGATAAGCCAACCTTGAAGGAAAATCAAAAGGAAGTGGAAATTGTGGAAACGAATAATATATATATTAGCCACCCTTTGAAACAAACTAATTATCCTAGAAAGTCTAGTAAAGAAGAACAAGAGTCGAAAAAATCCTCGCTTGATAAACACTTGCAAGAATCTAATGAACAAAATGATGTCTCTCTTTTACCTAATTTGCAAGTTACATTCAAACCGAAAAAAAAACATAAAAAAAAAATGGATGAAAGTGCAAAGTTGAAGAAACATGAAGAGGAGCAGAAGGAAGAACAAACGGAAGAAATACCCCCCGATGAAAATGTGTCCAAAAAGGACGATGAAATTGAAACTGCGCCAAATCAGTTCGAAATTAAGCGACCTAGAAATAATATATATATTAGCCACCCTTTGAAACAAACTAATTATCCTAGAAAGTCTAGTAAAGAAGAACAAGAGTCGAAAAAATCCTCGCTTGATAAACACTTGCAAGAATCTAATGAACAAAATGATGTCTCTCTTTTACCTAATTTGCAAGTTACATTCAAACCGAAAAAAAAACATAAAAAAAAAATGGATGAAAGTGCAAAGTTGAAGAAACATGAAGAGGAGCAGAAGGAAGAACAAACGGAAGAAATACCCCCCGATGAAAATGTGTCCAAAAAGGACGATGAAATTGAAACTGCGCCAAATCAGTTCGAAATTAAGCGACCTAGAAAGTACTTAGAAAATATACCCAAGCGGAAAACTGAACAAATTTCTAAAGTAGAACATAAAGAAGAAACTGCAAAGGAACAGCGGCAGAAAGGTAATGAAATTGATAAAGAATCGGTAAAAGTGAATGTGAATGACAATACAGAACGAGTTCAACATTTAGTCCTTAGACCAAAAATACATAAATATCACACTTTTCTTTACCGAAAAAAGAGGCGAACGTCATCGGTTAAACGACCGTACAAATTAATGAAAGTTGAACGAAATAAACAATCGACTCCATTGAAAGACAGCTCAATGACCCCTTTCACAGAGTTAGAATTGCCAGCAAAACTATCATATTTCATATCACAGCAGAATCTGCCGCAAACCAAAATTCCATTTCGCTACAGTACGGAAGATACTAATAATGGATCGATTGAATCAAATAAAAGTGGTAGTGGCATCAAATTTACCTACAGCGTAGTGATGGACGACGAAGCTCAGGATCCAGAATTGAGAGGGCCAATAAGCAATTTTAGATTGGTTTCCATGGATAAAGGTATTGTGTATAATAATCCGTATGAAGAGAGGGAACAATATGGTGGTATAGTGAGAATTGTAGAACAAACAAAATCGAGAGACTCTTCTGTGATATCAACTACGTTCTCCAAGACAATGCTTCATACCTCAAGACATAAACTGTCCGTAAGCAGTACCACGCTCAGGATAATTCGTCACAAACTTTTGGCCAAGACCAAGATCCCACGTATGTCGCCCCGAGTAGTGGAAAAAGATGACAGAAGGGGTCCACTGATGCTGTCCGATCTGAGGAAATCTGATAGCCTGTACAAGCTGCTGAACCAGATAAATCCAGTTGCTGACATTTGTAAAAAGGAGCTCCCCCACAAGAAAGAAAAAGAAACAGTCCCTATGCCTATGCCTGTGCCCAAGTCAAAGAAGCCGAAGAAGCTAAAAACCACAGACATTAAGAAGCCGCCTGAAGAAACGCCAAAGCCCCCCCGCACCTGCATTGCGTGCAGCATTTGCGCTCAACTAAGAAGACGAACGCCGTTGCCAAAGCATCCCTATATGGAGCAAATAGAACGACAGCTGAAGATCCTTGAACTGCGCTCCTACTACAGGCAGATGATGCTACGCAACTGTCTGCGGGAGAAGCAGCGCCAAGAGAGCCAGCGTCTGGAAAAAGAGCTGAATTTATGTCCCATTTAGAACGGGGAACTCTAGAAATTGACCAAACACCAAAAGTGCCAGCGGCCTTTTGCGGTTAAGTCAAGTTCTAAAGTTCCCAGCCAAATCATTTCGAATTAGAACAGAATTAATCGGCACTTTGACAGTGCATTTTCCTTGCAAATTGTGCCTAAATTTTATATTCATAATTTAAGAAATTTTGCCGGAGATTTTCACTGTCAAAGAGCTGAGCTTTGAATTTACACAATTGCGACGAACTTTTCAAATATTCTGTGCGAATTTGTGTCTGTCATAAGTGTGAAAATATGTTGTCAAAATAAGAAATTATTATGTTGCACAAAAATACTATTTGTTATAATTGGCAATAGCATTGACTTTTACTTGCACGTAAAACTTCAATTTTGATTTAAAAAAAAAAACAGACCCACATGTTTGCAATCTGCACGGTTTTTGCCTACCTAATTAGTAAGAAACAATAATAAGATATAACTGTGTCAGCTGTTGACACTGATGAAGAAGCTTATTCTTTTAAGCTTATTTCTTCTTTAATGAGTTATACAATATAACAAAATCTCCAGCATTGGTTTAAATTATTCTATAACTATATATTATTCTTTAACTAGTTGTCAGCAACGATTTATACTAGAACAGGGACATGGTTATATCAAAACTTCCTTCCTTCCCTGTTAAATATATTTGCATAAAACTTAAAAATTATTTTTAATAAATAAAAGTTTGATTTCTTGATAATAGAAAAAGTGTTTATTCTTTTTTTGTTACTTTAATGCCTAGATATTATAAAATATGTTTATTCTTTAACCAAAAATTTATAATAAATATAAAGAAAAAAATATTTAAAGGTTTCTGTATAACTTTTTTAGTTTGCGCAATCACCTTGAAATGTCAGGCATAAATGTCAAGCTCCCAACTGTTTGTATATTGTCAGAAGCATCGCAGCATGTCTGAACTGTGACCTGCCCCTGCGTTGTACTATGTTCTTTTAGTTTTTTTTTTTTTGGTTTTTACAGTATTTTTTACAGCCCTGCGAGTAATACATAGTTTCCATTTTATGTGCTAGTTTTTTTGCAATTTTGCGCGTTTACAAGCCAGCAAACAAAAATAATCGCAGCGGGGCAAAACAAAAAAAAAAAAAACTATACCAAGTCAGGAAAGTCTACACCCACTTGAATATACCCTATATGAACTTGGTAAAGTCTGTTGTTAATTGCAAATCGAGCTGTTTTTCAGAAATAAAATCAAGTAAATGGCGTCTAATAGAAATTTTAACAGCTCAACGCTAATGCAAGCCAATATTAATTTATGCAGGGTATTCCAATCAAAGTGCCAACTGCGTAAACCAAACAAAAACTCGGTCAAGTGCTTTGAATAGCATCAAGCAAAGCAAAATAAAAGATATATGCATATTAAAAATGTACATAAAAAAGAAACAAGCGAAAACTAGTTCTTGTTTCTAGTTTGTTAATTTATATGCTAAGCAATGGCCATTTATTGTTGATTTTAATGGCTGCGCTTTAAAAAATTAAAGCCAGAGCGAGAGAGAGAGAGAGATAAAGCAGCGCGCGCTGAAAAGTGTGCTATAGAAATTGGCCGAGCAATTGCTGCGAGGGCGCGAACAGCTTATGCCTTGAGCTTGATTAGGGGGTTAATGGGGTAAAGGGGGGGAGGGGGGGGAGGCAGCTGCTGATATAAATGATGACAGGTGCTGGCAGTAGCTGCTGGCCAGACCCGGCCAGGCGAGGAAATTCATTTACGACCAATTAAATGGCAAACGCAATGGCAAGGACAAAACGCAAATGAAAATATGAATTGCGCTCACTTTGACTGCTCTCTCTCCCCCTCTCTCTCTCCCTTTAACTTATTTAACGAGCGGCCTCAGCGCTATAAGAATAAAATAAAATAAACACTGTCATTTAAACGCATTCAATTTGTATTTTAATAATTAAAAGTCTAATTGTTTAATTCGCCTGGAAAACTGTGCTAATTGTAATTTCATTAAATTCTCCAGCCTGCAAATGGAAATTGAAATACATTTAATTGGACCACAAGCCGCAACAACATAAAATTTCCATTCATTGTAGTTGGAAATATATTAAAATCTGTTAATTGGTTAGTCTAAAATGATTGAAAGTTCTAAGAGCCCCATTTCTAACAATTAAAAATTAAATAAGTCATTCAGTCATGGTTTTAGAGCCTGTTGCATTATAATCAAGTACTTGTTTTGTTTTAGATATAAGCCCAATTAAAGTATTGTTTGAATGGTTCAAACCTCTCGACTTTTATTAAATAATATAATACTTAAATACAAATTTGTGAAAGGATTTATTCTTGCGACTCTCGGCTTTATGTATTTGAAAGAAGTAAAGTGAGTTTCTGAGCTCGTAACGAAAATGATATCTAGACTATATGTAAAGGAACTGCCACACCATCTAACTGAATGATAGAGGCTTTGAGAAGGTTTACAGGTTAAACCAATTTAATTTCAATTCAAACACAGCCCAAGGGCTCAGAAGCCGGAGCCCATATCAGATCAAAGTAAAACCACGTCAACTTAGCTACAGCAATAATTAAATTGCCAATGAATATTAATGTATTTCTAATAATTTCAGCGATTTAATTGTATTTGTTTGATTTTCAGTTTTGATAACATTTGCAAATGAAAAAATTGTAATATCCGCAAGCCAATTGCAAACAGAATTCAAGTTATGAGCTTTTGAGAATTTGCCAATTAGATTGCGCTAAGCCAAAATGTTGCTGTGCTCAAACGCCAAACCTGCCTCAGTCGACCCACGTAAATATGATTATGTTGGCAGCAGCACACACGCACACACACACACACACATACATGCAGAGGAGACGCGCGCATAGACAAGCATCAATCAATCATACGCAGCGTGCACCGTCGCCATATCAAAAATGTCTTCATCGTGATGTGGCTCAATAATCACACGCACCAAAAATAATGTTAAATGAAAAATAAGATGCGAAATTCGCGAAGAGCACTCGCGAACTCACACACACACAACACACACACAACCGCGCGCTGGGGCACATTTCAATGCGCCTTTGAAATGCAAATAAGTGTGTGTAAAGCGAATTTTGTACACAAGTCGCAAATCAAAATGCACACCTACCTGTGTTTAGACAGCGACGGGGGGCGATGCGGGGCGGCGCGTTTTGGCCTTTAGGCGGCCTGTTTAACAGTTGTTGTAATTGTTGTTGTTCCTATTGGTGTTGTTGTTGTTGTCGCTTGTTGCTTCTTCAATTTTGGTTGTTGTTGTTGTTGTTGTTGAGTTTTATTTAACCGAAATTCACATTCAGCAAATTTGTTTGAGGTGGCATGAAAAATAAATCAGGCAAGAGACATAAAAAAACATCAACCAAAATATAAAAACAAAACCAGAACCACAAGCAACAGAGAAAAGCGTGTGATACAATTTGCAAAAAAAGATTCCAGTACAGTGAAAACTCGCTAGGGCGTATAAGAAACACACTTTAATAAACTAATATAAACCGGCCTTAAGAAAAGCTCGTTTTGTTTTAAGTTTTCTAGCTGTCATTTAAATATTAGCTCCACTTTAGGCTGGCAAATGAGAAGCCTTAAATATTGTGAGCACGAAAAAGTTGACAGGCTAAAGATGTCTGCCCCAGGGAGCTGTTCGTTATGCGAGCTTTCACTGTACATGTGTAAATATGCTTAATATTTTCGAGTTGCTTCTAGAGCTGCCTATCAATGTAGCTAGCTGCCAGTTACAGTGACAACTGCTACATGTGCGACCTCTACATATATACGCATAGATACGCTACAATATTTTGCGTAGGCTGTTGCTGTGCGCCTTTGTGCGTGGCTACATATGGAAATTTTTTGTTTTATTATTTTTTTTTTTTTTTTGCGCACATTTTGTTAGCACGTTTTTTGTTTTTTTGATTTTGATTCAATTGGTTTTGCTTGGGCGCCAAATTAGAGAAGTGATTTTACAATATGTAGACGCAGTTGAGAATTTTTGATTTACGGTTTCAACACTTTGGCAAGCAAATAATAAAATACAAAACGAAATATCAGCGTTATTTTGTTGTGATTTTGTTTTTAATTGATTATTTTCGATTGTCGAATTTTACGAAATTTAATTGCGGCATTTTGTAATTTTGTATACACTTTAATTAAAATGCATTTCGGAGCATTTCAAATGGCTTTAAAAATACGTTGGCAACTTTGTTGCCAGCAACAGTTTGGCCTGCACTTGAACTAGTTGCCCAGTTGTCTGACTTGCTTTGTACACTTCCTCTCTCTCTCTCTCTCTTCATATATTGAGATGTGTGTGCGTGTCCACTGATAACGTTTTGGAGCTTGAGAATTTTGGTAGTTCTGATTGACGCGCTGTGTCCGCTACCTTTGATTTGCCACGTCCGCTTTTCGAAGACACTCAACAGCAACTGTTGCAAATGTCGAAAAGGCAACTTGTGGCTGCTGCGTTGCAGCATCTTAAATCGCAGAGCTTTTTGGTAAAAGCTCTTGTGTGGAGCACAAAAGCAAACTGTTGATTTCGCTTGAAAGAGAGACCGAAAGAGAGAGGGAGAGCGACGTTCAGAGTAGAAGCGCGAACTTAAGAGAGCGAACTGGGTTTTGTTTTGCTGCTTGCAATTAATTTCATTTAAATATTTAGTTCTTCGACTAGACTTTATTTTGAGTTTATTTCAATTTCTATCACTAATTATTAAAAGCTTTTTATGCGGCTTTTCATAAATTGACAATGATTATGCCCAGAGGCTGATTCGGTGTCTCATAGTTATTTGGCTTTTTTAGCAAATCCTTTTTTATACAATTTATAAGCAATGTAATAAAATTAAGCGTGAAAGTAAAGTGTTGCAAAGTAACAGAAAATAAATAAAATAATAAATAAACAACAGTTTTGTAAAATTATATTAGATGTGTTAACTTCAACTTGGAGTTGAGTTTTCAATTCAATAAAATTTATTCGAAATATTTTTAATTTTTTTTAAATCATTTTATCTTAAAACTATGTTTTAAGTTGGGCTTATGCTTATTTAAAGCAAATAAGTAAAAATAAATACTGAAAGTAATTAAATACATTTTGACATTTTATTATCAGTAGTTAAAGTAGATAAAGCAGTCGAAGTCTATGTCTTATAGCTTCTATAAGCACTGAACTAGCAATAATTTAACTCTGAGATTTTTAGTTATCAGCTGTATTATATGTAGCTCAAATGTGAAGTTCAATTGTTTTAAGCACTGCTTAAAATAGCTTGCTTTTAACCAGGCTTTCATTCATGTGTTCTTATTTTTGTCTTAACACAAACAGTTCTATGCATGTGTGTGTTAATGTTAAGTTTACCTAATCGACACTTGTCCGTCTTAGGAAAATCAGACTCTCATACCTCACACACACACACACACGCACACACTCACAGAGAGAAAGCTTTTAGTGTTTTGGCCAGACAAACGCCCACATGTTATAGACAAGGCCTCGGACTCGAGCATCAGCAACAGCTACAGGTGCAGCCGCAGGAAGTGTGCCTGCCCATAAACTGATGCCGACGCTCAAGGCTCGGGGCCGTGTGATGCCCGTGCAGCCAAAGGACGCACGTTTGGCAAATTTGTGAAGCGGAAGGACGCACGCATGGCTAATTGATAGAGCAAAGCTGTGCAAACAGGCAATAAATTGTGGCAGACACTCAGGCGCACATGGCCAAGAGAGAAAATTCTGCTGAATTTTTTTTATGTTTTCTTTATTTCACACGAATCAACCTTGCTTCAAAAAAAAGCTAGCGAAACTCGGCTATGCGCGTTAAAATTAACTGATAAGCGGCGCAAAAATAATCAAAAGGTAATTTAATTAAGCCCACAGCGAAATTTAAATCAAGTTCAGAGCTGCGGCCATCTTGGCAACATGGTGCGGACTAGCCTGTGTATGTATGTGTGTGTGTGTGTGCCAGTGTGTGCTTGAAAGCTTGTCAACATGTTTTTTTGGGCTACAGTTTCGCGCTGTTTCGGCTGCCCGTTCATTGACTTTTTAATTGGCTAATTACAAGCGTCGCCCAGTGGGCGTCTGTATGCGCGCGCGCGCGTGTGTGTGTGTGCGTGCGTGTGTGTCGTGTTGTAACGCTTTGCTATTTCTGTATTTGTGCACTCTTTTCTAATTTTAGTCGCGCTTTATTGTTACCAAGGTCCTTCATTACTTCCTTCATGCTAAATGCACTGATTTATCTATAATTAACACGCGTAGCTATTGATTTTGAGCCCTTGTTGAGCTGCTTGTCGTAGCCATTAGCACGTGCATTTGGTAATAGCGCAATTACAACATTGCGACCTTCATAATGCATTATCATACTTAAATATATGAATACTTTAAACCCCACAGCATGGAAGGAAATGAGAAAGAAAAAAACCAACACTTACCTTTCTCAGTTAACACAATCAGCAGCAATAATGCTGGTAAACACTGCTGGTACTTGTTCTTTATGGATAGATAAAAAGCAATAGATCACTGTGCAGTTTAATGTAACACATATTGTCTTAAACATAATTAATTAATTCACAAAATAATTGCGTTAAATTGATATTAAAACACCGGCTTAATAACTGTGCTTAATAGAACCTGCATAACAATCGAAAGGTGTCTGCATCAATCTTGGGCATCGATAAAAACGATCGAGCCAACATCGATATGACTGTTGACGACATTTCCATCCTGTTTGATTCTTGCTCTCTTTAGCGCCATCTAGTGCCAAATAGCGTAGGACATTAGGCTCATATAGGTTAAACTTGGACACTCACCCATGTGGTACATTTACTAAAGACATAAACCATGCGCTCTGTTAAAATGGACTTTATTTATATAAAAATAAAACTGATGGCTATAAAAATACTAACAATAGCACCTCGAATACCTCAGATAATCCATAGATATAAAATATATATAGCATAGAGAAAAGCTCAGCCATGCTATCAGCTCATGAGGAGCCGCTCTGTTAGATGAGGAGCAATTCTTAAATGTAATAGCCGCCAAATGCTATCGATAATGCCAGATAAGAGCTACCCCCGATATTATCAGCAGCATTGGCGATATTTGAGCAGCTCTAACATTCTTATCGCACATCCCTAGCGCTTTATACTGGTTGCTTTTTGTTGGTTGTTGTTGTTGTGGGTTGGAAAATACAATTAAAATTTGATTGCAATATTTAAATATTCAACGTATCAAGGTAAGTGCGAATAGCGGCACATTGTGTGACTAAAAAACATACCAAACGCCAAGAAGCTGTCGAAAAACGTGTTAAAGGGCCGTTTGAAAATAGCGCGTCACAAGTGTGTGTGCGTGTGTGAGTGAAAATGCGCTAACGTACGATTAAAGTACACAAGAGCAAATCTTAACGCATTTTTCCAGCCAATATATGCAATAACTAATTTTCTTGTACATTTTCTAGACAACAACAACGCGGCGGGTGTCGGCGGCAAAAATACCGAAGAAGCACAAAAAAGAAAAATTTGCAAGGTGTTTGCGTCTGTGTGAGTGTGTGTGACAACGACGAGCGACGACTTTGCTGCTGCTTCTGGTGCGTGCGCGCTGTCGCAAGGGACCAACACACACGTCAAGTATTTGTCATAGTATTGGTGTATCCTTTGGCATTTCTGCGAGCTTGGTTGGACGTGCGAGAGAAAAATCGCTTTAACCAAATCATAAACAAGTGCAGCTGAAGTCGTTTTTAAAAAGCAAAAGCACACCAAATACAATGGAAAAGAGAATAGAATTGGAGAGACGCGCACGCAAAGCGAACCAGGTAAGTTTTTTACATGCCATTTATTATTAGTGATTGATATTGTGAAAAGAAAGAAGGGGAGCGACAGAGAGTAACAAGACGAAAAAAACGCGCAAAATTGAATTTTTTTTTTTTTTTTTTTGGATGTGATTACACAAATTTTCATTACAACGTGCAAGAGTGTGTGTGTGTGCAACAACAACTACGCCATCATGTAAATCTAGTTTCAATTTGTGCCGTTGTCGTCGACGCCATAAAAAAGAGCGCAAAGCGCTGAGCAAAGAAGAAGCGGCAAATAACATCCATCGTTGAAAAAAAAAAAAGAATTGATCGCCATAAGCAAATTCACACATAGAGCTGTATGTACGTACATGCGCTGAATGTGCGTGTGTGTGTCGCGAGCAGTGTTGCCATGTGCGCGCATTTTTTTGCCTGTGCTTTCCTTAAACACTGCCAAAGACTGCACAATATCTGATTATTAAATTACATCATGTAAATAATTACTCAAAGGTGTGTGTAAATAAATAAATCTGACATGATGTATTCATGTTAATGTGCGCTGATCGCGATACGCACAAAGCAAAGACGCGCAACTGAAATTGCGCCAGCTGGCAATGCTTCTACATACATATAATCTGTTGTTGCTGCCGCTGGCTGGCCGGCCTTCAATTGTGACAAACACTGCAATAAAAACATATACGTATACGTATGTGTGTGCGTGCGTGTGTTTGTATGCCATGCTGCTTGTTGTAATTTCAGGTTATTTGATACCAAAATGTATCTATAACAACGTTATAGCGCGCGCATCATTCATATGTACGCAACAACGCCAAGAACCGCACACAGAGGCGCACACACACAACAAAGACGTGACACATACATACACACAGACTAACAAGAAACGTGTATGCACATAATAATCGACACATTCTCGCCAATGCCGATGGGTTGCCAGCTTTGGCTATAGCTGCTGCTGAGACGTGCACACACAGCCACATGGACTGCGCAGTCATAAATACCCTTACACACACATTCATTGCTTCTGCAGGCTAGACTTTTCACAATGCAAAAAACCGGCCGCCCCAAACGGTACATGCACTGTTTACATGCACTTCCCTCTCCATAAATACATCTATCTCTCTCTGTTCAACTCAAACGCAGCACAAGAAATGCGAACAAGAACAGAGCAGAGCAGACAAACCTGTCTTTTTTTTTATTTTTTTTGTGTGGCACATTTGCTGATTAATAAACATGCGCTCTGGCAAGGCCTACTCAATCAGGCACCCACACCCCACCCAACCAAAACGCGCCCGTCGTATTGCGAACAGAGGCCCAACTACAAGTACACCAGAACGCATACACACACATAGTCAAAGCTAAGCTGATATGCACACGCTTCAAAGCTTAAGCTGCGTGCCGTTGTATGAGTGTAATGTGTGTGCATGTAACTGTCCAGCAGAACATATGAGAACACGCTGTTCACTGCGTAAAATGTCGCCAGCCATTGTTGCTATTGCATACAACTGTAAATATATGTACATACATATATGCTCGACTACTATAATTGGTCTAATCAGAAAACAATCGAAAATAGCCATACATATTTAAAGCGTATGTCAAATTCTTATTAAAAAGACACAAGTAAAAAATGTTTGTCTGTTTCTATTGCTTCTAGGCGCAACAACTACCAAACGTCCGTGTGTCAACATATTTTTGTTTTGTTGGGGTTGGCGCTGCCGGCTTGTTTCATTCCAAAAATTACAGGACTTGTGCTGTGTTTTTTTCCTTCCACATTCCCCCCTTCCGAGCTTCATAACATTTCATTTCGTTTCAATTTGTTTGTAGCACGCGCGCGCCCATTGCGCTGCCATGCTATCAGCACTTGCTCTTTGCGCTGCTCTTTCAATGCCCATTTTCGCGCATTCCGTTTTGTGGCGCGTACGACACACGTACACGCACACACATACACAACGCCTGCAAAAAATTCTATTACATAAACGCGTTGCCACTTTTTCAGCTTTAGCTGCAGCTGGGTGCGCAATTTGTTAAATCATTGTTGTCTCAGCACATAAAATTGTTTTGATTTTACCATAGTTTTTGTTTTGGTTGCGCCATTTTGTGTGTGAGTTTTCTTTGCAATCAAAAAAAAATGCTTTCGAGTTTGATCGATTTTTTGCGTATGTATTGTTTTTCATTTTGAGTTTTTTCTTTTGCGCTTGTTCTACCACACGTTCACACAGACATGGCGGACTGTCAGACCCTCAACATGCTGAAAACACGGACAGTGTGACCAAATTGTCTAACACGAAAAATGACACTTTGGGTTAAGACAAAAATTGCTTGTATAAAATACCAAAAGAAGTTAGATATTGAAACGTCTATTTTATTCTTGTTCCCCCACAGATCACAGAATTGAATCTGGACAACTGCAGGAGTACAAGCATTGTTGGCCTTACAGATGAATATACCGCCTTGGAAACATTAAGTTTGATCAATGTGGGCCTTACCACACTTAAAGGTTTCCCCAAGTTGCCCAATTTAAAGAAATTGGAATTATCCGATAATAGAATTTCGAATGGCCTCAACTATCTAACGACCAGCCCACAATTACAATATTTAAATTTGTCTGGCAATAAAATCAAGGACTTGGAAACGTTGAAACCATTGGAGGAATTCAAAAATTTGGCTGTTTTGGATCTATTCAATAATGATGCCACCCAAGTGGAAAACTATCGGGAGAAAATCTTCAAGATGTTACCATCTTTAAGCTTTCTAGATGGGTAAGCTATATAACTATTACAACTGTTGATTAATATTAATAAATTTGTATATTAAACAGATTCGATTGCAACGATGACGAGGTGCAATCGGAGGGCGATGACGATGAGGAGGTCAATGGCAATGACTCCGAGGATGACGGTACGTAAACGCTTCATTCATAAATTTTGCATTTTTCATAGGAGAAACAACTAATTTGGCTGTTCGCTCAGCTCTATTGCTCCCGCTGATCAGTGTCAGCTTCTGGTTTGAAAAGTTTCCGGCTCACAGTCATGCATTTTGGTTGTTGTCACATTCATGTCCGCCCTTTAGGATCTGTTCAGTTATCGCATCATACACATCTCAACACACAGATTCTGTCGCCTTTCAGATGAGCGCAGTGCCTTCTGTGTAAATGGTTTAGAAATCGATTTAGACGAGCTCGAGGCATTGGAGCAGCGTGTTAAGGCCAAGAAACGTTTGCAGGAAACGACAGACGGTGCCAGCACGTCCAAGCCGCCTGACGACGACAATGAAGTAGACGAATTAGATGAATATTTAAAAGAATTGCAACTAAAAGAATCGGCAACTGCCAGTCAATCTGTGATAGAGGCTAACCGAGCCTCAGTTCAGCCCCATCCAAGCACAAATTTTGCAATTTTACTCTATTGGTTTTTAGCAATATTAAATCTGGCTAATGCCGCCTATTGTAAGCATTATGCATTCTGATTTTTAATAAAACCTTACGATTTTGCCGATTGCTTACAGTTTCTGGCGACGATGATGGCGACAGCGATGAAAGCGACGACGAGGACAATGGCGATGTATCACTGTCGGAGGTATGTCAAGATTCAGGATTATAATAATAGTTAATTAACTAATTAAATAAACAATTGCAGGTCTATAATGATGATCTAGAGGAAGACAATTCCGATTGGGAGGAAGGTGAGGGCGGCGATGACGATGAGGACGAGGATTCCGATATTGATGAGGCCGATGGTGAGCCAAATGAATCGACTGCATCGGTCAATGCCAATGAGAAGGATGCTGAAAAGCCAGGTGAGAGATGAAAATTAAACAATATATCAAATTATTACTTATGCTTTATTTCTTCAATTTAGCCGAAGAGTCGACAGCCAGGGGCAAGAAGAGAAAGCATGATGGTTAAACAGCATGATCTACAACTGTATCGTCTTTGTACGTTATAAATTTAAATATATATACACCAATACACACACACACACACAAAATACAGCAACAAGAACACACATCATATTTTGATAAAACAAAAGTGAAAAATAAAACCACAACAAAGGAAGGAGGAAAAAAATAAGAAGAGGGCCCCCTTAGAAAAAGATAAAAAAAAATTACATTTGTTTCGTTACATTTTAAGCTAAATATTCTAAACACACCCAAAAAAAAAAACCCGACAAAACAAAACAAAATGTAATAATCAAAAGATAAACAAAAGATGATAACATTTAAGCGAATACTAAAAACCACACAACAATAACACAAACAACACACACATACACACACACAACTATAGAAAACGAACCCAAATGTGGCAGTTCTACAAATAAAAAACAAAAAAAAGGAAAATTAAAAAAAAATCACACACAAACAACAAAATAGATGGTTCCAATTAAATTCTTTTGGCAATTGAATTTGCATTCTGAACACATTGTAAAATTGCTTAGCATTAAGTTAAAAGTTTACCAATATATGATTATAAAATGTAAAATTAAAGAAATCCCACAATTTACATGATGATAATGTTACATTTGAACAAACAAAATTTGCTAACTTGCGCCTAAAGTTGATTCCTGATTTCCATTTTAAATTTAATTATTTTAAAAATCATTTGCTGCTTCTCTCCGGTTTCGTGTTACAAACAAGTTCTACAACATAATTACTGCTAAGAAGGATTTTTAACTAACTCTTAAGTCATTCCTTTTTGAATATACACACACACATACACATAAATTAGTTAAGCGCAATTATAATTTATACTTCCTTATATAATGTCAACACAATTATTATTCATTGTTAACCACATCCATTCTCTATATACACGCAAATTTGTTTAAACTATAAACATACTTTTAAGTACGTAAACTATATTATCAAACAGATTTGTTCCCAGTTCTTCAAAGGCAGTAGTAGCATGTTTCGATTACGGCAAGTAAATGCAATATACAACAGTTTAGACAAGAGTATATATTTTTTCATTTCATTTAACAACTATATATGCAATACGTTTGTTCAGGTACAGGCAAATTGTATAAACAGCGAAAGCGAAACCGAAATACATAAAAATTAAATAATTTTAAAAAACTTGTTTCACTGATGGACATTTTCTACAAATGAATAAGTTGGCGATACCCTGTAAATTGCATACGGCGAAGATGCAGCAGCAGGTGCCTCTTTAGAGGGAAAAGTGTGATTTAGCTTGTTTTTCATTTCGCATTGAAAATAAAAGCTATTTGCATGAAACTATCGATGGTTGCGTAATCGAAATATCAGCTCAATATATGCACGCTCGCCAGCACTGTACGTAAATGCACATTAACCAACACTGTACGGCACTTGAACATGCGCAAAAGAGGAAGCAAGCGTAGCACATATGCGGAAGCGAGAGAGTGATATTCAGCCAACGCTGACTACAACGTCGCGACGCTGTCGACGTCTCTTTATTTGACGTCGAATCGTCGCAGCGGTTGGCTGTGTTAAAATATACATACTAGACAAGTAGACTGCGCTGCCTGCTGCATTCTTGGAACAAATTTCACTGTTGGCAGCGACTGAGGAATAAAATTGAACGTCGACGTCGCGACGTTTCTTCCTCGAAGAAGACCAAATCAAAATAAAAACAAATAAACTATAAAGGGTGCGTGCGCGCCAATTATTTAACAACAATTAGCAAACGAAAGAAACAAAGTGAGTTTTAGTTGCTTATATTAATGGCAATTTTGATAAAGTGGCCAATTTACATGTACACACACACACACACACACGCATACACATACACACACACTCACCCACTTGCATATGTATAGGTAGTATATTTATTAACGTGCCCCGTGTTTGTGTTTCTCGCAGTGCACACACTTAGTGCAGCCATCGAAATGGACAAACTGGATGCCAACCTGGAGCAGCAGTTTGATCTCAATCTGATTGAGGCGGTCAAAATGAATCCCGTTATATACGATCGGTCACATTACAATTACAAGCATTTCGTGCGTAAGGCGCAGACCTGGAAGCAAATTGCCGAAACACTCGGCGTTAGCGGTAAGTGAAATTTTTATGGAACTGTTTGTAATCATCTTGGCGAAACGGGTCCGAAGCGAAGGGTGCAACCAGCCCATACGCTGTGTGGCAAGTGAAATTGGTTGGGTATCAGCCGAGGCAGCTGGCGACGACGATGTCGTCGTCGCTGCAAATTGATTAATTCTATGTACGGTTAAGAGGTATGGATGTTTAGGAGGGGAGGACGGGTGCAGAGTGGGCTGGCAACAGAGACGACGACATCGTCGGCAGCGGCAGCAGTAGTAGGCAGCGGGCGTCGGCAGCAGGCGGGCAGAAAAAGCAAGTGTACAGAAACGACGCAAAAGTGAACGGCGACGCGGCGGAGACGCGACAGACGATTGTGAAACGACAGGAGCGCATTCACTGCCTTGCGGTTACTGGGCGTTATAAAAATGAACATTATTAAAGAACGTTATTAAAATGATCCAAAAAGGGTTTAGTTGTTCCTTAAATATCAAGCAATCCTTACGACAAAGCACCGTTTAGTATAAAATCAAGTGAAATAATAGATTTAGGTGCCCTGATTTGGGCGCTTCAGCTGCGCTCCTGGCTGCGCTGTCGACGGTGTGTGCGCGCAGTCAACATTTTTGAAGTTGCTGTACTTTTGCGTCGCAGTAGTTGTCTTTGTCGCACACACGCTGCCTACGCCAGCGTTTATTTTTATACAACTGCCACTGCTGCCGTCGCTGCAGCTGCTGCCGTTGGTGCTGTTGGTGGTTCACACACACACACACACACTGACGTGAGCTCACGCACACAGCGACAGGCAATCGTCGACCAACCGAACAGCTTTCATTTCATATCATGAGTGTATACCAACAAAAAAAACCGTCTCTTCCCCCCTGCCTCGAAAAATTTGTTTTTTTATATGCAATGGCCCGATTTCAATTTTGGTGCTTTTCCATTAATGAATTATGCAAGCCAATTTGAAGGAGAAAAAAATTTAAACTTTTTGGCGCCAAGCCGTTTGAATGCAACAGAAAATGTGAAGACGACTCTGGCATCAGATTCTCTGCCTGGGCCGCTGCTGGCGTTACCAATACCAAGCGGGCAGAATCAACTCGTAGTTGTAGTCGACGTCGACAGCAGCAGCGGGCGCGCGCCTGCCACCAGGCCGCTCGGAAGCTGCTGTCGCTGCTGGCGTGCCACGGATTCAGCTTCAGCTCAGCTGCTGCTGCTGCTGCTGCTGCTACTGCTGCTACTACTGCTGCTGCTGTTGCTGCTTGCTTCTGTTGCTGCTTCTGCCAACAGCTAACGCCGTCGGTTCAAGTGTCTGCGGGGGCGGGAGAGACAACGGCGTTGACGTCTCGCGGTTTGTTTTGGTTTGCAATTTGACGCACATATGCTGACGTCTGGTGGCGACGGCGTTGCCACCCACCAAAGAAAAGCTTGACAACCGAATAAAAGTAAACAAACTTTCTTATCAGGGTAATATTCATGGAGTATTTATGAAAATTAAATACTTAAGTATTGAAAAGTGAAGTTACTGCCGTTTATTAGAGATTCTAATGTTTGTGTTTATTTTGCAGAACAAAAATGTACAAAGAGGTGGAAGAGTTTGCGCGACAAATTCGCGCGCGAAATGAAATTGTGCCAAGAATCGCGCTGGCGCTATTTCAAACAGATGCAGTTCCTCGTGGACTCCATACGTCAGTACCGTGAGTCGCTGCTGGGCAAGTGCGCCAACGGCAGCCAGAATGCCAATCAGGTGGCCGATCCCTCGCAACAGCAGCAGGCACAGCAGCAAACCGTGGTGGATATATTCGCACAGCCCTTCAATGGCAGTGCAACCACATCCGCCCAGGCACTGACGCATCCGCACGGTGAGTCTCCCGACAAGTCACATTGAATTACCAGTTAAATAATACAAATTTGCTTCAGAAATAACTGTTACTGGCGATGCACAACTCGCCACGGCTGTGGGCAAGGATCAAAAGCCATATTTCTATGAGCCGCCGCTGAAGCGTGAACGCAGCGAGGAGGAGCACAGTGACAACATGCTGAACACAATCAAGATTTTCCAGAACAATGTCTCGCAAGCGGTCAGCGCCGAGGATCAGTCGTTCGGCATGGTTGTCACCGATATGCTCAACACGCTGGGCGTGCGGCAAAAGGCCGAGGCCAAGGTGCACATCATTAAGTATCTGACGGATATGCAGCTGCTGGCACAGCATAACAAATACTAACTGTCGAGCCGTTTGTAGCATTACCAGCACCGTCAATTGCTGCAACTGCTGCAATTGGAGAATGTGCTGGACGCTCGATGGTTAATGTAAGCAGCTACATATAACAACAACAACAACAACAACAACAACAAAACAAACAAGATCCCAAAAACAGGAGCCGCCTGTTTTTTTTTAGCAACTAAGTCTTAAAAGTCAAACTAAAGTTTAAAGTTAGTTTTAGAAAGCAAAAAACACACACACACTTCACTTACATCTACATAAATACATAATACCGAACATACAATTACGTAAGCACAAACCGTATACATATATTCTTATGTGCTTTGATCTGTTGTAGTTGGCCGCCCCCGTTCAATTCTCTTACCCAGTTTAGAAGTGTACAAAAAGAAAGGAAACTGGTTCTAGAAATATATATTGTACGTAGTTTTTTGAAACAATTTACAAATGTTTTCCAATTACATTGTAATACAGCATATTGTATATTTTTGACTACCATTTAGTTTAAACATGCCATCGGGTTTAGTTTTGTAATTTGTAATTAAGTCAAATTGTAATCACAAAAAAACACGTTATTTTAATTTTTTAAGTTCTGTTGTAATATGCTAAAAACGCTTGAAATTTACATTGAAAGGCTTTAATTAAGTACGACCCTTTTAAGAAAACATACATATATATACACTAAAGCATATTACACAATTACATGAATATATTTCTGCATATTTACATATATATTTTTCTGAAAAAAAAAACCGTTTTAAATTAACGCTGAAAATTTCAAGAAGTTTACCATAGTCGTGTATATTTGCCAACAATATTGAACAATTCAATATTGTTTTACCATTTCAATTAACCTAAATGTTTTTGATGTACATGGAATCATTAATTGTGCAATTATTTGCAATAAAAACAAATATAAGAAACGAAAATATCATATTTGTACTTAAAGCTGAAGGCGCCATTTCTTGAGAGATGTGGCAACCCTGTTTAGGTAGTAAACAAAACACAGCTGATTCGATTGACGCTCGCTTTGCCCTACACATTTTTATATAATGTCCGCAAAAAGTGAGAATGTTGAGACAAATGCGTCGGAAAACAATACAAAACTGACTGATACATGGGCCGTAAGTAATGCTCTTCCATATTAGGTACAAATCTAAAAGTGCAAACACAACAGATTCGCCCGTGTCATCTGTACAAAGAGGAGTACGACGATTGCACCAGTTTCAAGGCACGCTTCCATCAATATTTCATACATGGCAAAGACGCTGACTGTTCGCAATGGCTAAAAGACTTACAGAACTGCGAGCGCTATGAGCGATCCAATGGCAATGACATAGAAGCTGGTGCCGCTATTATCAAGAGCGAAGAGCAGCGGAGAATCACAAGACTGCGTGCCCACTACGCTAACGATACGTGGACAAAGCGTAAGCAGCCGCCAGAGGATTGGGCCAAGCCGCTGCCCGAATGGCTGGAGAAGCGCAATGAAAACACCTACTTAGAGATAAAGCAAAAGGAGCTGTCCGGCTTGGCGGTGGAACAGGATGAACAGCGTTCCTTTTGCGTCATCATGTAGGAAATAAAAAAGCTAAACAAAATAATAAGAGAAGGGTGTTTCATTTGGTTCAGCCCACATATACATATATAGATTTTACAGCAGTCTGGCAACACCTTGCACACAGCTGTGTAGTTCTGCGCGTGTTGTTTGCGCTTGGGGGTGTAGTTTTTTTAGCTGGCGCTGACACAATTTCTGCTATACATATTTCATCATTCGCAACTTAAATTCACTGAAAATGTTAAAGGGCAGCACATTAAAAGTACTGGATGTTAGAATTCTACAACGCTACATGCAATCAAGGTCAGCAGGTAAATGTTAATTATATAATACAAAAGTCTCGGCAATCCATGCCTAGCATGTAATGTGTAAATTCAATCGAATGTATATATATAAATATATGCTTTCATGTATAAATTGTCAAAAAACTGTCGTTAACTAAACGTAGCCTTTTCCGTTGCAGTTGCCAGCAGCAGATCAGGACGCGTAACTATATCGATGGCATCCAGCGCTCCTACATAACGTTCAATGATTTTCGTAACAAAAACCGTTCTTACACCAAAAAGGAGCTCGTCGGGTGAGTCATAAATAACAAAGCAAAAGTGTTCTAGTCTTCAGTGATCGACTAGGAGATACACTGTGCTCATCGCTGCCGTTACAAACATTCGCATCATCAATACATACATACACATATACACAAAACAAACGCACACACACAACACACACACGCAGGCACGCATGGCGGAAGCTATGCTCTTACCCGCTTTACGGGGAAGTTAGAGCTCCAACGAGCTACATATTCTCGCGGCTTAATAGCGATTTGTATCGATTTCGCGTTATCGATAACAGTTCGACAAGTTTCGAATTCGAAGTCTCTGGCTCTTATACATAACAAAAGACACATTCTCTATCACTTGTGGTATTGGAAAGCTTTCTTCTGCCTGTCACACACACTTGTACACTCACTCTCACGCATTTTGAATTGGATCAGGGTATATATGAAAAAAACAAACTCTTGCAGTTACTCAATGCAGGACATGTACAGCGTCGTCTCGGATGTCAGCAACTATCACAAGTTTGTGCCCTATGTCAAGAAATCGCATGTGCACAGCGTGACCGGCGGCGGCTTCAAGGCGGATCTGATCGTGGGTTTTCCGCCGCTGAACGAGGCATACACATCGCAGGTTACACTGGAGTCGCCCAGCCTGGTTAAATCTGAGTGTCATGATGGTCGTCTGTTCAACTACCTCCTCAACGAATGGCGTTTCAGTCCCGGCCTCAAGGACATACCCAATTCGTGTGTGCTAGACTTTAGGGTAGCGTTCGAGTTCAAATCCTTGTTGCACAGCAATATTGCCAACATATTCTTCGATCTGATATGCGATCAAATGGAGAGCGCGTTCATTCTGGAAGTTGGTCGACGCAGCGGCCCGCCCTCCATACGCTCGCATGTGCTCAAAGCGAGGCGATCCTGACATCCTAGTTAAATATTGTATTTAGTAAAAGGAAAAAAAACAAAAAAAAAAACAAACATTATATTGACAGAGGCGCTTTCTATATATTTTTGTTATAACAAACTGTAAATAAATTGATAAAACAAAGACATGGTGTAAGAACTTGAATTTCATTGAACGTCATAAAAAAAATCATTGTTTTTTAACAGTCTCGTTTTTAAGGGATTTTTCAAATACACAACAGATAATGGGCTAATGATATTGCAACGTTCGTATCTTAATTGACAGTACAAGTATTTTATATAGAAATTAAATATTAAATTATGTTTACTATGGAATGGCATCGTTTAAGTCGAGAAATTCTCAAAAAGTGGCCGACGACGTTACAATTACATACAATTAACTCTTTTAACTTAAACTACGTTTATATGCGTTATAAGACGATATGTGGAAAAACTATAAAAATCAAATTCGTGTCATTTAAATATCTTTAACTTAAATTACAAAGAGAAGTATTTAAAAACACATTTGTGAGCTATTATTTGCTTTAAACTTTTAACATAAAACAAAATCATGCTATTTACAAAAACATTTACATTAAATAGTTACTCAGTTTTAAGGGGCAGTTAATATTTTTTAGTTACTTTTTCGAAGAGAAGTACAAGTGTTCCCGTATATAAACTCTATATATAAGTAGGTATTTCTATGCATCTAACAGTTACTAACTATAACTTGAGTGTGTCCTATATTTATGATGCTAAGCTCTCTACAAGTTAACTTTATACAAGAGGGGAGAGGTGGCGTGTAACGATCTCTACTTAGAGCAGTAAAAAAGTCGACTACCATACAACAGTAAGTGAAATTTGAATACCCTTACAACAGCTAAGATGAATGGCTGTATGCTTTGTTAGGGTATGCTTAACATTTTTTTTATAGTTAGTTTAGGTTTTTCTGATATTGTCCAGTGAAATACGCGTGCAACTACTTAGGAAACAATTAGGCTAAAGTTCAACAAATGGTTATAGATGCAGTTAGCAGCTAATGATTATGCAATAGAAGGTATATACGAAGTAGATAGGTACAATTCCTTAATTTCTAACGATCGTAACTCAAACAAATCTTATAAGCACATTTCGGGCGCATTCGAAAAACTATTCGAAACTAAACTCATATTCGTTGCCAGTCGCGAGCGGAGTTTAAACTCTAAAATTGGAAAGGGATGCGGCATAAACGCAACCATTTCAAATGGCTTTTCTTTTTCAGCGTTTGCTTTACAAAAAATATCACTTGTTGGGCCGTTTTTTGAGCGGGCGAAGTGGCCGCCACGAGGCGGCAGCAATCACTGCCGCCAGCTTTCTTCGTTCTCAGTTGTGTTTGGCCCGCTTTCCAAACATATAGCCCTTCCAGCGTTCGGCGGTCTGGGCGATCAGCGGATCGCTGTCAATGGTGGCCAGCAGCAGCAGCTGATTGACGTGCGTCGCATGGTAATCCCAGCGTGCCAAATTTGGTGCCACGCCCAGACTCAAATGGCGCAGATCGTAGCTGGTGCCGGAGCCGGTATCGTACAGCAGCAGCATCTTCTTCAGCGAATGCATGCCCTGGGTAAACAGTTTGCCCGCCTCGCGTGCTATTTTGCCAGGCGCCGTGCTGTTCAAATCGTAAAGACCCAGCAGCGAATAGATGAAACCATTGAGCACATAGGATGCGGGCGTTGTGGGATACTCCTCGTACCTAAAACAGGAATTTATAAAGTCCATAAGTGAATAGGTCAAGGGGTTGTTCCACTTACCAATAGTACTTTTCCATGAAATGCGCCAAAACGCCGCCGTCTTGGGAGTAGACGCGATACGGCTGCAGGCCCAGCGAGGCTGCCTTTAGGTAACGCACATCCCCGCCAGAATGCCAATAGGCGCGCGCCAGCACTGAAATGGCATGACCCTGACCCATGGCCGATATCCAGCCGGGACGCAGCTCCGCAAAGCCATTGAGACTGCGGCGCACCGGATTCGTCCAGCCGCCCGTCTTGGCATCCTGATTGTGTACAAACCATTCGGCTGCATCATAGAAATGCGCCAAATGATCGCTCGTCGAGAGCGTTATATTGTCAAAGAAGCCAATGCCCAGAAAGGCCACGGACAGCACCTCCAGATCGCTGCGACGCACCTTCAACGGCGAACGCTTATCGCCGAGGACAATGCCCTTCTGGACATCGATGTGCAGATCGCGTGTGATGTGTCGCCATTTGTTTAGGGAACCGCTGCCCAGGCCGTAGTATATATTCGACTCCTGGACGCTGAGCAGCAGCTCGGCGGCAATGTAGTGCAAATTGTAGCTGTGCTTGGTGTCGCGATTCAGCACGGTGACCATCAGGCTGCTGCTGTTGGTCACCAGCAGCAGGTCCACGCTGAGCACCAGATCCTGCGTTTGATTCACCTGAATGCTAATGGCGCTCTCGTAGCCAATGGTCGTCTCGAACTGGACAATGCTCGTGTTGAACTTGTGATGCCAGATGCGTGTCATATTGCTGGTCTTGGGCGTTGTCCAGTCCATTTGGCTGCCATCGGCATCCTCGAGCACATGGACGCGCGGTGTCGGCTCTGTCAGATTTTTGCTGTAATGCGCCAGCGCAAATTGTGCTATCTGTGTCGGATAGAAATAGCCACGTTTCTCCCATTGCGTGCTCACGGGCACGCCCTCCGCCGCACTGATGCACTTGACCCGATCCCGCACCTCCACATTGTAGTTCTCAAAGTACATAAAGACGCCGCGTGTCTCATATTTGCCCTTGGGCAGATTCACTTTGGCATTGCTGTGCATCCAATTGAACTTGGCCGGATCGCTGCCGCTTCCACTGGTCGTCACAGCACCGCTGACATCGAAATACTGGCGCAGGAACGAGAAGGGCACATACACCTCGTTGGCGTTCTCATCCCGTTTGCAGTGTATGCTATACTCCTGATTGATGGCGCATTCAATATCCTGCAGGGGCGCTGACAACTCCTGTCCCGCAGCCGAACTGGCCAGCGTTTCGACGGTCTGTCGCTTGCCCAGCTGGCGCACAAAATCGGGCGAAAAGCTAAACGCGGCACAGCGCATATAAATGCCCAATGTTATGACCATCACAGCCACCGTGAGCAACAGCAGCACAGCTTTTAGATTCAGACGCATTATGAAGAACACCAAGGGCTCACGCTGCAAATGATGTGTTAAATATACATATGCATATTTATTATAAAGAGATAACAGTGCTTGCCTTAATATATTGTGGCTTTCGCGGCGTCGCTTCCTTCTGCTGTTGCGGCGGCGGCTGCGGCTGATTTCCTAGTGTTTGGGCGTCATAGGCATCTTTGGAGCTTGCATTGCCACTGGCATGCACAGACAGATACTCGGACATGCAGATTTATAGCCTGGTCACACTTTTGCGAGCCTTTCCTGTACCTTTTATGCAGTACTCTGTAACGTCATATTCTAAATATAATAAAAGGCACACACACACTCGCGCTCATACGCGAAAATGCTGTTGTTTTTGCACAGGTAGCTGCTGCATTGATTGGTTGCAATTTAACATGATGGCAAAATAGCACGGCTTTATAAATACTACACTGCACGAGCGTCGATTGCACCTGCAGTTGCAGCGCTTTTGTTTGGATATAATTATAATATGGCAACAGCTGGCATACCACAGCTAATAATACTATTGTATTCAGCTGGTTTTTGTAATAATTTGTATGTGTTTTCCATTCATTTAAGACTTTTTCATAGCACTCACGCACAACCCACACTAACAACTGCTAAAGCAAACACAAACACAACTGCAATGAAGACGAGGAAGAGAGATACCTAAGTTTATACGGTAAGACACGAACGTAAAATCAGTTTATATTTAAATGAAATTGTAATTTATATCAATTTCGTGATAGCTAGCATGAATAAATAAATAAAATATTTGCATTTTTATTTGGCTCTTACTATACTTAATAGTTTTTTTTTAACGAAACTAAGTTTTTTACCACCTGTATTATACACTACTATGCCAGATCATAATAAACACTCAGGCATAAACGCTGTTATATTCATTTGAGTGTTTTGACAGCTGACAAGGGTTGCCACACTGTCAAACGGGTTGCTGTGCTTTGTAAACAAAACAATTGAATATATTTTGAAAATCTCAATCCAATTCATTAAATTAAATTAAAACAACGATAACTTAGGGAATTTATTAAATAGACCGAGTTTGCTTGTGTCCAGGCACAGAAACAAATATTTGAATATATATAACATGTCGCTTGACAGCCCTAATCAGAGATAAATCAATAGCGGCGTGATTTGTTTACAAAATGTTTAAATAAATTTTGGAGGTGAATCGCAATGTTTAGATTTAATTTCGAGAAAAGTGCAATATGTTTGCTGCTGCTGCTGCTGCTAAAGAGCGAATCGCTGCCGGCGTTAGCCTCCAATGGCGATCGCACGCAGTTCTATCACAATTGTCGACAAAATTGCGAACGCACAAACTGTTCAGCTGGCAAGTAAAAGATAATCCATAGGGGTCAAACATGACTAATGTTATATTTGCAGACGGCTTGGAAATACAGGAACAGGCCATCAGCTTCTATGGCCAAACAATTTTCGATCGCATCTTTGGCTGGAACTGTGCGGACGAGTGCTCATATGGCTGCATGTGGCGTACTGTGTTTGCGTTCATGGAACGCGGCTGGCCCATACCGCAATTCTATGGGAAATGGCCATTCCTGCGTCTCTTCGGCATGCAGGAGCCGGCATCAGTTCTATTCTCCATAGCAAATTTCGTAATGCACTTACGTATGTTGCGCAAATTTCGCTGGTCCGTGCGTTCCGACAGTCCCTGCTACGTGCTGGCCCACATCTTTGGTTTGGTAAGGGTCTTAACAACTAAGCTTGTCGCTGTCGTTGCTCGAACTCTGCTTATTTTTAGGTATGCCTGAATGGTTGGATATGGTCAGCGATCTTCCATACCAGAGATTTTCCCATAACTGAGCTGCTAGACTATGCCTTTGCGTACTCCATCGTACTGTGTTCTTTCTACTGCATGTTAATGCGCATGTTGCATCGGTATTCGCTATTCCTGCGCGGGGTCATCACGCTGGCATGTGTCTCGTACTACATCAATTATTTTGCCTACTTGAGTACGGGCAAATTTAATTACTCCTTCAATATGAAAGTGAACATTGCCACGGGCGTGCTGAGCGCCGTGGGCTGGTTTGTGTGGTGCCAACGTGTACGCTATCGGCGTCCCTATTACAAACGCATATTACGCTTCTATGTGCTATTCGCGCTGGCCATGAGCCTGGAGCTGCTCGATTTTCCGCCTATACTGTGGATTCTCGATGCGCACTCGCTGTGGCACTTGGCCACAGTACCTTTAGTTCCGCTGTACTACGAGTGGGTATACATAAACAGATCGTTCAAATCAATTACTTAATATACTACTATTGCAGCTTTCTGATCGAGGATTGTCGGACACTGCTGAAGGAGAAGGAAATGACAGGATCTTATACCTACTTTAACAAGGATATTTAGATCATTAGACACATTTTTATCGATAAGTGGTCGTTATACTCGTACTGTACTGTATTGTAAATTTATTATACAAGACATAATTATGCTACATTTGTCCACATTGCGATATGGTAACTGGCAATTTGGGCTTGTTGTTGGGTCCCGTTGGCACATTCTCAATTTTACGCATTATCAGGAGACCATCCAGTACGCGTCCAAAGACCACATGTTTGCCATCCAAAAAATTACACCTCGCACATGTGATAAAGAACTGACAGCCATTTGTGTCCCGGCCACTATTGGCCATAGCCAGTAGGCCAGGTGAGTCGTGTTTCAGCGTAAAATTCTCGTCGCCAAATGTGTTGCCATATATGCTGGTCACTCCAGTGCCGTCGCCTTGCACAAAATCGCCGCCTTGTATCATGAAATCCTTGATGACTCTGTGAAAGCTGGCGCCCTTGTAGCCAATCGGCACTCCATCCGGTCGGTATTCGCCCGTGCAAAATTGTCGGAAGTTTTCCGCCGTACGCGGCACAGTGTCTGCAAATAGTTCAAAAATCATGCGCCCAATTTCCTGCCAAGCAAATAAGATCAAATAAATATGCATATGTACACACTCGTGTGTGTTTGTTGTTCACTTACCGTGGTGCCCACGGCTATGTCAAAGAACACCACGGGATTGTTTGAGCTGCGCAATTGTGATTGTATTTGATTCCAATTTGGCATATTTATTGATTAGAATTAATTAAATGCAAACGTTTAACAATAAAAGGCGCCGGTTGTGGTTTGTTTACGTTCTTCAGCGATTAATAAGTATTAATCGATAAGAAATTGTGCAGTCGTGTCTCAGGAATCGATATGTGCTAGCCGGCAATCGCATAAATCGTTCAGCTGTGCTCACACATGTGGCTGTTGTTTAATAAATTGCAATTGTTTTGTTTTGCAGACTGCTGAATTAATTATTTTTAAGTGCGTTGTGTGCTAGTGTTTAGAAAAGTGTTAATAGCCTGAGGATTTATTTCACAGTGTGCCATCACGTTTGTTTAATCTGAGGTGGAAAGCGGGAAGGCATTAGCATAAAAGGTAAGTCGCATGTGTTGCTTTCATTGTACCCTTGTAGTTTTGTGCTGTTTACTACCCGGGTTAATTAGCAAAGTTCCCGCAGATTAAGTGCACTTCATATTATTGACTTTCTGTTGTTGATGTTTGTTATTTAAATTCAATCCCACAAGACAAATCGCACGCAAACCAATTGATGCCTATCAATCAAGGCTGCTGTCGTGTTGCTGTCTCGCTTGCACTCAAGTACTTTATGAAAAGCTCGAAAAGCTTGGTTTAAACTTGGCTTCAACTGTAAATCGTATAACAGTTCCAAATGTAAATCCCAAAAAGCGTCGGTTTTAGTAAAATATATTTTTAATAAAAAAATGCGCATATCAAATGCTAAGTAAATGTTTATGTTTATAAATAAGTGGTTTTTTGTTGCTCATGAGAGCTTTTAACTAAACATACAATGCATACGATATTAATATGTATTACGTGTGGTAATAGGAACCCAATAATAAATTAAATGAAATTCAGCAGTGCAACTTAAAAACTATATAAATATGTACTTAAATTCAATTAAGCAAATTCAAATCGTTCGATTTTAGGTACAGGCCTCATTTCAGCACGTTTCTAAACGTCAATAAAAACAGCTAATACTATCTACATATTTGCATTTCTTTCTGGACCCTTAAGTCCACATCAATTGCTCGCCTCGTCCGTATCCACATCCGAAATGTCCTTCAGCTTTGTTATATTATTATTTTGATTATCTTCTGCCGCCTGCTGAAAGCTTTGCTGGATCGTTTTGGGATCCACCACCAAAATAGGCGTACAGCCATCCATTAGATGTTCGCTTTGACTTTGGAACTGTTCCCGCGATATGCTGCGGGTGAAGGAGAAACGCAAGGACTTGGTGCGTGTAAGGATCTTCTTGATGGGCGGCTTGCCGGTAACCGCCACTGGCTCTGAGCTGGTGCGTTCGGTTTCGGGCGTGGCCGGCGCGGAGCTGATCTCCAATTGAGCATCACGCAATATTTCCTCCGCAAAGCCCTTGATCTGGCTCCAGGCATCCAAAATGTCCTTTTCGGTGGCTTGCTCGTATGTCACACAGAAACGTATCACATAGCGTCCATTGAATACGGCCGGCGTCATGTGCATCTTGCCCGAGTGATTGATCTGTGCCAGCAGCAGATGATTCGGCTCATCGCCGGTGCTGTGAGGGATCATAAAAAATGATAATATTATAGAGGCAATTGTGGATTTGAGAATAGTTTTTCTTAAACTTACCGCATGCGAAAGCACACCAGACCCAGGTGCACATCGTTGCGCACCTCAAAGCGTTCATCCTTGCGTACGAGCATCTCAAACTTCTTGGCCAGAACCATGTGATTGCGTATGTACTCCTGCAGTCCCTGCACGCCATATGTGCGGAAGACAAACCACAGTTTGAGCGCGCGGAAGCGACGACTCAGTGGAATGCCATAGTGTCTGTAGTCGACGCCATTCATGTGCTCATGCCGCAGATACAAGGGATTCACATTGAGCGCACTCTTCAGTGTCATCACATCGCGCACCCACAAGGCGGAGGCATCGAAGTTGGTCAGCAGCAGTTTGTTGGGATTGGTATTGAACGAGTCCGCGTACTCCAAGCCAGCAGAGAACACGCGCATCTCGGGCAGAATAAAGGAGTTGCCTGCGTAGGCGCCATCCACATGCAGCCAAATGCTGGACACCTGTCGGCACACCTTGCCAATCTCGGAGATATCATCGAAGGCACAGCCGCCGGTGGTGCCCACCGTGGCGACCACAAAGAATGGCGTCAGGCCCGCGTTCACATCGTTCTGTATGGCCTGCTGCAGCAGATCGACGCGCATGCGTCCACGCTCGTCGGCATCGATGATGCGCAGCTTCACCAGCGCCATTTTGGTGGCTTTCTCAACACTGGAGTGCGCCTCGCGGCTGGCATAGGCAATCAGATTGGGCAGAAAGACGCTATCATGCACACTGGTCTGACCCTTCAGTTCGCTAATGGCGCGTGCACGTGCCGTGATCAAGGACACCAGCACACATTCGGAGGCGGATCCCTGCAGAGCGCCGCCTCCAGTGCTGCCGGGCGCATCCGAAACGAAAGCCTTGGGCAGACCCAATGCCTTGGCATACCAGTTCATGACAATTGTCTCCAGTTCCGCAGCAGCCGGGCAACTGGCCCAGCTGAAGCCAATGGAGCCAATGGCGCTGCTCAGCATATCGCCCAGCACGGAGGGAAAACTGTTGCCCGATGGGAAATAGGCAAAGAATTTCGGATGATTCCAGTGCACAACGCCCGGCATAATCTTTTGCTCAAAGTCCTCGAGCACATCTTTAAACGATTCGGCCGATTGGGGTGCGTCCGCTGCAATGTAAACAATTGAAGGCATTTCTTTAGTTGGCCCTGATACCTCGTGTCTTAAATATATAGTAGATATATCTTTTAGCGCCTATAAAGTTGCTGCTAAATCAGCGCACAACAATATTTATATATAATTTGTTATTTTTGGCATTGTGCGGAAGATCGAAAGATCAACAGTTCAGCACAAATCTTTATCTACTTCTACCTGAGATGTGCGTGTGTGTGTGTGTGTGTGTGTGTGTCCGTGTCCGTGTCTATTCGCATAATTAATTGATTTGTTTAGTTGAACTATAGAGAGATTGTGGTGTTCGTCAGATGTAAATATTTAGCTTAAATAACTGCGCGCAATTCGCTTGAAATTCGCTTGAAAAAAAACTGAAAATCTTATGACCCAACAGCTTGATGCCCCAAATTGAGCCCACGCCTGAGCCAAAAAAAAAAAACAAAAGTAAATGAAAAGAAAAAACAAACAGTTTTTTATAAAAATTGTTTTGTTTTTTTTTTTTTTTTTTTGGGTTTCATGGTTACCATGTGGGCTTCTAGAGAGCTACAAGTCAATTCGCATTGTTTGCTGACAATTAGTCAACATGAATCCACAAGTTTCTGAAGAGCCTGTTGAGTTGAGATATTTTGTTGTCTGACTTATTTGTTGTTAAAAATTGGTTTTCGTACTTGTACAAGATTTTCTTCTCTTTTTGAATATATTCTGTGAAGTGAAATATTTTTGTGTTTTCCATTTTCCATTTTCCATTTGCTAATTTGTTTAGAAGCCTTTAACTAATTGTTGTTTACTTGCGCTAATTTGAAGCAATCTCTCAAGAGTTTGGCCCCTCTGACTGGCAATATTTTTATAAACAAAATAGTTTTATAAATTGTTTGGGCGTCTACGCAAAAACAGTATCAAACTTGTGCAAATATTTTTGAATGAATTTTCAAAATTGGGCATTTGCGAATTCCATTGAGTAAAAATATTTATAATTACATCAGCAAATTATGCGCGCATTATTTATAATTTGTTTGTAAATAGATTAGCTTAATAAATTGGGTTATTTATATTTTGAAAATCTTGCCAGTTGCGCTTACCTGGTAATAGTTTTTTCAAATATCCGGGATCTAATGTGGGCGCCACATCGCGCTCTTCGATATTGCTGCCATATTCGCATATATAATCGATCACCTCCTTGCCGTACTTGCGAAACTCTTCGACGTTCATTTTGTTTTGTTTGTTTTAAATCAGTTGTAGTATTTTTCAACTTGTTTAGCACTTATTTTGTGTTTTGAATTTATTAACACCTTTTTGGAATTTCTAACACTCTTCTTGTAACACAATGCCCAAAGCTAGGCAACACTTGTATTCCCTTTCTCGCTCGCTCACTTTAATCCGTTTGCTTACGTAGTGCTTGCTGCAGCTTCCTTTGCGCGAATGACTCGAAGTTCGTTACTGCATTCGTTTTTATAACGAAAACCAAACATGCTCTCCTGAGCGAGCTTTGCACGCGTGCTCTCTTTTTCGCTCTCTCTTTCTCTCTCTGTTGCTCTGAAGCATTGGCACCTGCGCTTGTTGTTGTACGTGATTGTCGTCTTCTTTCTTTTGCGGCTCTCAAATTACTTTACTTGCATTGTACTTTGCCGCCTACTTCGTCGTCTCCGTCGCCGGCATCATTCGGATCTCTGGGAAACCCGCTTTGCCAATTTGTTGCGTCGCCTCAAGCCTCAGTTCTCTTCGCGCGCGCTTTGTGTGGGCTGTCTCGGTAAGTTTTGAATTCAATTAAAAAAAATTCCTGCCGGGAAACATATACATATATATTTTTTGTTTGCCATAATTATATGGCTCGGATGCGAAATGAAAGGTTTTTCGTGCTGCCATTCGGAGCTGATTGAGTCTTTATTAATAGCACATTACAGTTGAATATTTGAAAACACTTTAATTGTGAAAATTATATGAATTAAAATGCATGCTACGGTGATTTCTGTTGGGTAAACTGGAAAATTATTTTGGGGTTGTCGGGAAAGTTTTGGATAGTACAGCGCATATTGTTTACTTTCGGTGATTCAGATCAATTATTGGCGTAGGTTTCATACAAAAAATGTAAAAGTACACAAGTTCCCTTTAAAAATATTACGTATACGTAATCAAATATTACGTATACTTTTCTGTAAAACTATCTTGTGAAGCAAAAATTTAAGAAATTGTATTAGGATAAAGGTTAAATATTAAATATAAATACAAGCAATTTCCTTTAAAATATTTTGTAATTGTGATCTTAAGTGCTTGGACTACAAGTTCTTTATCATAAATTCGATTATAATTGTAATCAATATTTGGTATCGAGTTACATATATATTTTATTTTTTCTTATATCAAGTTGAAAGGTATCATATTAATATCTTTACATATGATCTTTAAAAGCCACAATCATCTATTATAATGATTGCTTAACAGAAGCGAAATTACCATCATTAAACTCAAATCTAGCATTTCGTCGTGTATCTTTGATTTTAATTAGTTATACACAATAGCTGCCACGCCTCTCAGGTCCCACCAGTTTCCAGTTTTAGTTCTACTAATTAGCTGAGCGGAATCGTTTCTTCTTGTTCCCTGTTCTTTTACCATCTTAAGGGGAATTTTTTGAATTGGCGCAAGTTTTCAACTACTATTAGAAAACGTGCCAGGAGTAGGCATTAAACAACAAGCAAAACAGCAAAAGCTAAGTCTCATAATGAGCTTTTGATGCGTATTTAACTAAGGTTGCCAGATTTTGATAATACCTCAAAGTTTTTGTTCAGCTACGGGGAATTACTTTTAGGACATGGGACAAATGTGGCAGCAAATAGTTCAGGAGCAGGGCTAAGCAGCTGGAAATAAACATTATGCAATATGCCAAAAAAGTGATTAAATTAAATTCAAATGCCAGATGTTAATATATCTATTTATTTTTTTTGGCAAAGGCGAATTATGTACTTTTAGTACCAGGCATAAAATTGTGCTAATTCGTAAGTTGGTCTAAATTAATATTAACTAACGAATACGGATAAGTAGCTGGGAATAAACATTATACAATATACAAAAAAATGTTTAACTCATTTTCACCAAGCTCTTCGGCAACGGGGAATTACTTCTAGCACATGGGACAAATGTGGCAAATAATTGTGCAAATATGTATGTTGGTCTAAGCTGTTAACATTTAAAGAGTACAGCTAAGCAGCTCGTGTGTGTGTGTGTGTGTGTGTGTGTATTGTGGCATGACGAATCCCTCCATGTGGCAGCTGCCACAGCAACAGGCTGTGACGTAGTTGGCACTTCGTCGGAATCTCTGACCGAGCATATATGAAATCTAAACAAATTGCAATCTTGCAAATATATCTGGGTGGGTGGGTGTGTGTAAATATATGAATGTATGCTTGTGAGTGCATTCATGAATGAATGAATGCGAACGCTTTGTATTCTGGCAGCTGTGCTAATTAGCTAAGTTAGTGCCTAAATGCTCATACGATTTCATCCAAGCCCGCTAAGTTCCATAGTTCAAGTAGGTAGCTCCCGCCTTTAGACTCCGCCTAATATGCATAATCAATCAAGCTATGGCAAGAGTCTTGCGTGCCGCGCAACGCTGATTCATTCGCGCACGCGCCTTTTCGTGGGCAAAGTGCGGGTCTCGAGAGGCATTGACAGGGCATGACTTGGCTGATTTTGTTTTTGGCCCGGCCTGACGATCTGCTTTTGTCGGCTTTATGCTCAAGCTCTTCGCATTTCGGCCCGAGACTTTCATTCACAATACGAATGACGTCGTTTGTCTAAATATAAACCGCGTATTCAGTTTACGCGGTCACACTTCAAATTGCTCGAGGCCCAATCCGCCATCCGCCTTCTACGTGGGGCCTGGCACCGTCTCTTTCGCATGTATTACCAAGTTTCGCCGCGTCTGGCTCATTAATTATTAGATATTATGTAGTTGGCACCGCCAAACACAGCAACATTTCAAAAAAAAAAAATCATGGGTCATCTTTAAAAATTTTTGTTTTATTTGTCTTTGGGTTCTAGTTTGCGGTTCAAGATTTGCTTTCGTCATTGTCAAACCGCTTGACAACCGCATTATCATGTTCTTCTTTTTGTACAAATTCGAATTTCGCCAAATCACGAGTTTGGCATTTCGTTTGTTTTGCCCGTTAGATTATTATGCTAATGTCTCACATTAAATTGTACAAAATCTGACGCTTTTTTTATGGCCATTTTGTTGCCGTTGGTTTTAAAAATGATTTATTCGATTGTGTTTTGAGTTTTATCGGTGCCAGTAGCTTTAAAATTTATTCGCTTGTTAATTGAAAACTTTTGCGCTAGCTTTGAAGTTGTTTTTGTTTCAAGATTTCATGATTTTCTGAAACTTGTGGGTTAATTTAATCATCTTAAGAGTTCAGTTCCTGGGAACCGTTTAGGCAAAATGACACGAACTTTCTTAATGGCGCAAAATTCAAATTTATTCTGTGAAATAGTTAGGTTTTATTATTTTAAAAGTGTTTGCCTAAGCAAACAATTTGGGAATAATTTCTAAATATCGATAACAACTTTAATTAAAGTATCGCTAACATATCGACATCGATAACTAATGATACAAAACCGAATTACTGTTAATTGGACCGCAACCTTCTGAAGGTCATGTTTTATTTTGGTATCGATAACTGACAATTGCAAACGAGTAATTACTGTTATCGATAGCGATAAATTATGATACTTAACCGAATTACTGTTAATTGAAACCCTAACTGACTGGTGATCATTTTTTGTTTTGTTATCGATATCTGTCAATTGCAAATGTGTAATTACTGTTATAATCTCGATCGATAAGAAATAATCGTTTGCTCATAAATTGCCAAATCATATTACCTTTCTAGAGCTTGTCAGGCTTCTTATGCATAAGACCGACGGGCTTGTAGCCTTGCCCCAAAACTCATCATCAACTATGAACGAATACTATCATGTTTAAATGTGAATTCATAAGAAAGTTTACTTAAAGTCCATTAAATCGCAATGCGTGCACACTTTTGGTGTCTATTGATCTGTAGCTTTTTGGGAACTTACCTTGAGGCTGGTGTTAATAGAGTTTCTATGGATAAGCTGGGCTTTCATAACTACAATGAGATTGTGCGCGATTTAATCAAGAACTGGGAGTCCCCGATTATATATCTGCGACAACTGGGCTACCTGCCCAGCGACTATGAGGATACGTCGAAAATTAAGCCCAATTTGGATGCGCTAATGAGTCGCATCGAACGCGATGAACAGCACGAAGCCGTCCAAACGGAAGTTGACAAACCCAAAGAGCTGGATACGAAAAAGTTGCAAATAAAAAGGAAGCGAGAGAGCGCGCGGCGGAAGAGAAAAAGCGGGCGACGTCGTCAGCGTCAGGCAACTGACACTCAGACCGCGAACTATCCCAATATGGAACAGCTGATGGCCATGACGGAGCAGTCCAAGCCTCTGGGAATTGCCGAAGCGCAAGCCACAGTGGAACGCAGTCAAAACCTACAGCAAAATCTAGTGGAACAGAATGCCCGTTCGAAGATGCTGTTGCTCAGCGAAATTTTATCCCATCAGCGGCAAGTGCGGCCACATGTCGATGGCAACGAGGACGTGTTGAAGCGCCTCGTTGCGAAAACAAGTCCATACACGGCACACAAGCTGCAGCCAGTGGCAGGTGTGCTAGGCAACAATGGCAACAATGGCAACATGCCCCAGCTGGCAGCCATGCCACATTCATCGGGCGGAGCACACGCCATGCTGCTAAGCGATAATACTGGCAAGAGCGCATCCGGAGATTCCAGCTCGATGAGTATGTATGGCACACTGCTTAAATCCATTGCTAAACCCGATATCCATTCGCCTCAATCTAGTCGCCCGGATCAGGCGCAATCTCAAATCGACACTAAGCCGGAGATTGAAGCGCCGCAATATCTAAATTGGGATATCAAGAATATGCGGCTCAAACAGATCTCGCCAATCGCCAAGGATGCGTATGTCGACAAGCTGGTCCAGATCTTTGTCAAAAAGCAGGAAACGCTGGATATCCTACAGAACATACAAAAGCCGGGCACATAGGCAAAGCAAAGTAACTTCCATTCAAATTCATATGCCATATTTTTATATATGTATATGTATATATATTTGTGTATATTTTTTTGCGATCTTCCCTAATTGGTATGCAGTAAATTGTGTTGAGGCATTCACCAGACCCTGACTCATATTCCATTTTTTGCTGCGATCAGCAGAAGAACAATTGTTAATCCCATTCGTACAACGTCATATCCATGGCATCATCAGAATTGCGTGAAAATTATGGTTTGTTTATAGACAAAAATCACGGTAGTAAATCAGAAACCTAACATACACATATGCCATATGTTTACGATATTATCTTGCTCGTAATTGTGACCGGCACAATAACAGCTGCCCCGTGGTCCAAAATAACACAATGCCTCAGCGAAAGTTAAGGAAATGCTGTGTATATCGCATAATAGATAATCAAAGTGAATGTTTTTTAGTTTGAATTTGACATCATCTTTGTTCTAAAATTATCAAACTGCTCATGCTTCCCATTGAAAACTATAATTAAAATACTAGGCAGTACACAATACGGATGTCATACGGAGGCATAGGTTCAATTTAAGATTATCAGCTAGTAGATGTACCAAGGATAATGTCCTTGCAATAATCACAGATATATTACGCCTCGCTTTGCTTATTTTGTAAATGCACAAAAACGAAATTATCATCGAATATTCACTAGATAGTTCATATTTCTATATATAAATTGTATATTTTCAATCATTTTATATAGAGATTTGTATTATGATGATCGCGTGTAGTTAGAGAAGATATGAAGCAGATTAAGAGTTTGGTCGTTGACTAGTTGGATAGTTGGTCGATTTAAGAAGTCCATGCAGGTCGACTTCTAGAGATTTATTTTGGATCATTAAATAGCGATAAAGTACGATTAATACCCTTATAGCCATTTGCTTCACGGCTTTGCAACATTGGGCTTAACGTTTAATATTGATTTAAAAAATAAAAAGCGAAAGACCATTTATTTCCATATACTTTAATAATTTATTTTATGAGCAAAAATAACATTAAACGGTGCATAATATGCGATTATTATTATAATACGAACTTCGTAAATAGAGCTGTTGAGAGCAGCAACAAAATTTAGGGTTGACCCGAGATAATAATTTAATTTACTATATATTTATTTATATGTTGTACTGGTTATTTATAAGGAGTGATCGGTATTGTAAATTGGTCTAGAATTCAACTAGGCGCCGCAGTTACTCATGAAGCGCGCTTTAAATAGTTTGTCATAGTTTTCTTTTTTTAGTTTGTTTTTTTTGTAAGCGCTTCAGTTGTGATTCTCCCGGGCGGAGGAGGACTTCCGTAGCACCAGAGGCGACTTTCGCGGCGATTGCAGCTGCTGTGGTTGTTGCAGCAGCAATTGTTGTTGTTGTTGCTGTTGTTGCTGCTGTTGCACATTCACAAAGCCCGTCTCGTTCTCTGGCGAGGGCGAAGAGCCGGCGCCGGAATTGCGACGCGATGAAGTCGGCCGCACATTGGTGTCCAAATGTCGGAAACTGCGTGGAAAATGCCCGTAAAGCAAATTAACAGTATTTGGAGTGAAACTCACCGCAAAGAGCAATTGCTGCCCTTTTCATCATTATTGCTATTGAAGAGAAAGGCCAGCGGCCAGGATATCCACGAATTGTGATCCACAGAGCTCTGTGTGCGTATTATAGGCGCACTGCCGCGGCTCACCACCGGCGAGGGCAGCTCCATGGAGAGTTTCGGTGTGCCCGCCTTGTTGATAGCCGGATTATAGATCTTCGGATCGCTGACCATGCGCACGAAGAACGAACGCTTCTGGGCGAGCGTATCCAGTTTCTTGCGATTGATTATCTCGCTTATTTCATCGTGCTGCTCCTTCTCCAGCAGCTCGTTGGCCACATCGACAATGATATCCCAGGCATAGTCAATGTCCTCCGCAGTGGCATTCTGTGCCACCGCACAGAATCGTATTATATAACGATCATTAACGCTCGCCGGGACCATGTGTAGTTTCCCAGACTCGTTGATGGTGCTCAGCAGTTTCTCGTTCAGCTTGTCGCTGCCCTTGAGGCGAAAGCAAACCAGTCCCAGCTGCAATTGGACAATAAATTAAATCATATTCAATAGACATAATCGCCATTGTGCGGACGAAACAAAAGAGTTTGCCTGTAAATGACATTGCGTATACGCAATGTGGACGACTTATTACGTGATGCGGGGTGCTTTGGTCATGAAAAAAAAACGGCCAATTGAATTTAGTGGCTAAGAAACTGGCCCCAAGCAGCTGTCAATTGGTGCGGCATGTATTACTTAAAATACCCTGTACTATAGGAATGGTTTAAAAGGGGGGTATGCCAGACGGAGGCAGGCATGTTGGCATAATGTATTCTACGTCTATAAAGTAGACATGTTCTTGTTAGTTTGGCCGTGTCTGTAGTCGCATCTGCTTCTTACGTCTAATATTTTCAATTATCGTCAATGTATCTTCCAGTTGATAATTAGTATTATCTTCCAGGCGAAACGTTTTCTTTTCCATCGGACGTCCTGCTCTCTTCTTTTCCAAGAAAAACTCTTTCTCATTTGCATCATGTTAAAGCTTAAACCCTTTTCCAATATCTCGCTTTTATCGCTTTATTAGCTACCTTTTTGTCCATTTTATTACAGGGTATCGGCTGGCCAACCATTGCCACCGAAATCATGCACACTTCATATTTTTCTTCGCCCGTTTGGCCTGCCTTTAAACAATTTTTGTATGCCAATTATGCCAAAATACTTCAGTTTCGCTCGGAATTTGGCATTTGACGTGCGGTTCCGCACGTTCGTCTTTGCTGCTAGTGTGAAATAGTCAAATTTGGAAATAGTTTACGAGCTCGCTCTCCCGTGTGGCGAAGACAAATTTCATAATTTGATTTTTAGTTAAGTCCAAGTCAATGTTATTTGCGTCAGTCGCTGGCAAAACAGCCAAACTATTTCCTCCCAAGAAAACAACAAATTTTGATAAATGTTTAACATGCACAACAATAGTTCATACACACACACGCCCGCACACCCACACATTTGTCTTATAAAAATCACCGCAGACCCAAAATATAAAACTTGTTGTATAAACAAAAAGTGCTTTGAACTCGTCAAATGATTAATTGTTGTAATAGCCGCAGTCCAAAAACCCGAAATCCAAATGGACAAATGCCACATTTATATGTAACTCACCTTGACTTGATTACAGATCTCGAAACGTTTATCTTTGAGCACCAGCTCCTCAAAGCGTTTGGCCAATTTGATATGGTGTCGTATATAATGCTGTAGTCCGGATATTCCATACGAGCGCAACACAAACCTGTTCGCATTAAGATATAAAATACAAATATGATTATCATTGGAGAGTAATGGAAAGAAGAAGGGAATTCCTATCTTCGGCATGTTATATGATATAGTAGTTCGATTCAATACGGAATTGCCGTGTTTTGATAAAGATATCTTTAGAAAATAACACATTTTTCCATACAAAAAATAACTTTTTATCGATTCTATATATAGAGCTGTAAAGCTATAAAACTGTATGATATATAAGTCAATTTTTTATAAGGATTTATGAGCACTTACTATGCGGTATTGTATATAATTTTTAATATTTTTAAAATTTTGAATAAAGCTTTGCGGTATTGTATTAATACCAAAGAAAAAGGGAATCATAATTATTGCTCATATATATATATATATATATTTCGTTTAATTTTTATCTGATATTCTATCTAACAACTTTAGCAGAGTGAAGATCGGGCGGTTCGTAGTTTAACAATAGTTTTGGTTTATAGAAGCTTTGTTTACATATGTACAGGTAGTGTATGGTATATATGGTAGTCTATCTTCATTTTGTTTAGTCCAGCCTAGGCTCTAGCTTGTTTGGCTGACACTAAGGGCATCGATCAACTAGATCTGTTGGGTAGGTTCTTTTAAGTATTCTTCTGCCAGGATGATTGTGAAGCTTAGAAAGGTAGCTCGCTTTTTGTCATTTGACCATGTCGTCTATTATTGGTAATGTCAGATGTCAGATGTGCGAATATACCAGGCTCCAGAAATTTTTCGCAAAATCTTGGTCTGAATGATGCGAACTTTGTTCTGGTGTGTTTTTGCGGCTATACCAAAGACTTGGCAACCATGTCGCCACGCAGGGGCAAGGATTACTTTATAGATTAGGAGGGAGTTCCTAATATCAATTAAATAGCATTGGTCGTTCGTCCTAATCAAACGTTGCAATTGCGAGCTTCATTGTATTGAATTCAGTATTGAATTAACTTATATCTTATATTGCTTATATAGAAACAAATAAGTATAAGTATCAGTTATACATCAGAATGTATCAGAATACATCAGTTATAGGCTTTCAAGGGTATTAAATCTTTGGCACCTTGAAGATGTGTGTTCTTTTTAGTTCCGATTAATAATTGAATATAAAGAACATAATAGAAGACATCTACTTCAGCTGAAGTATATTCATTTAAATAGCAAGTCATTGACAAATTTTTTACTGTTCAATAACTCGTGTATTAGTTAAGAGTTTCTTGCGAAATCTTCAAAATAGTCACAAAATAAACTGATAATGGCGTGTACCAAAACTCCAGATCCTAACTTGAGTTGGGCATAGTTAATTTATGCTACGCTGAGGAGCGCCTCTTCTGAGCATGTTTGTTTTTACAACTAAATCGCAGGCAAATATTAAAGGCACAGGTGCTTCAAGTCAAGTGTACTCATGGCTAAGCAACAAGTTTGGCACTCGAAAAACCAAAAAAATAAATAAATAAATAAAATATTTGACAATAGTCAACAAAGTCATTCAGGCCTGACACCCAAGGGTCGGCTGTTAGATGGTCTTTGGGTCTTTTTGAGCGGGCGCTACATACCACAGTTTCAATGAACGAAAGCGACGGCTGAGTGGAACTCCCCAATGACGATAGTCGATGGCCGCATCCGAGTAGCCGTGCTTGAGATACAGCGGATCGACGACCAGAGCTGATGTCAGACGGATGCGATCGCGCACCCAGAGTGTTGAGCAGTCGAAATTGGTCAGTAGCCATTTGTTGGGATTCGTGTTGAATGAGTCAGCATATTCGATGCCCTGTTTATTAGCATA